CCCCTCCGACACGGACCTGAATAAATGTACCATCTAGTGCTCCAACTATGCCGGGTATACCACCTATAGCTCTAAATTCTTGCTCCATCCGCACGAGCTCGTCTTGTGTAGGCCACGATACCCAATTTGGTGAAAGAACATGGATTACGTGATCCACAAATTTCTCGCATATGAATGAAGCCTCACACCGACTGATTCCATCAACTTCTGACAACATTCGATAGCTCCAGCCGTGGCCCAAACGATGTATAGCTGCTGCTAGTTTGAGCTCTGGTGGTAAGGTCCCATGACTATTACGCGACATTACAGCTCGGTAGCTGCGCAACAAGTACCTGAATACATGTTTTTCCATCCTGAATACATTGTAAAACTGCTCTGGACGAGATCGGCGCACAAACCCTAGCCACGTCTCCCTGGCCGCCAGCATCTCCTTGCGGATATTGAGCCGATCAGAATGGAGAAACAACAGGTAAGTCACTTCACTAAGGATAACTTCCAATGCCTTTACAAATGGCCGCAAGACTAGCTCAAAATAACCATGCCGCAACCAAGTTAAGATGAGTAGTAACTGCAATACATCCATGTCTGATATGGTCTGACGAATATTAACTCGTTGAACCTAGAGGAGTCTTGGAGTCAGAATGTTATGTGCCTGCTACGTTTGCGGATGACGAATGGTTTCAAATGTCTGCAATGGAAGAAATAGTCCTAGGGTTTGAAAGAGTGGGCGTGGAATTTCTTGACCCATGTGTCCAGATTTCTCAACGAGGCGCCCTGCAATTGCACGCATGTCAAACTCTCAACTGTGCAGAACTGGACAGACTAGTGTGTGACGAAATCCACGACACAAGCAGGTGCCTTTCGCTATTCGTATCCACGTTGGCATTTTCGGGCAGTGGAAACAGTGGCGAAATTCGCACGTGCTGTTTTTTTGTCGTTTGGGTGTCTGAAGTGCAAAAACGGGAAAACGGATGTCGAGTTTCGTCAACTTTCGTTGGGATTCGTCGACCAAACTTTCGTCGGCGAAAGTCAAAATTCACTTCAGACACGCCCTGAGGAGTCGTTCGAGAGAAAGTTCCAACAATTCAATCACTTGAACGATTCATCCACACGCGCCACATTTTCGAATACAATTCGCGAGAAGCAGAATTTACCCCAATTGCGATTGCATCATCCTGTGGTGGAGGTCGTCCACTTCTGTAGCACATCCCTGCACCATGTCAAGCAGGCTACCAACTACACTCTACAAATCTTCACGTAAATTTGGAAAAATTGCGTGAAGGGTCACTGTTGTGTGAAAAAGCTCCAGATACTCTGCTCTAAGCTTACTCGAAATGAATTACGTAATCCAAGTTTCAATACTAACACATCCAGCTCGCACACCCACCATGCGTTTGGTGTCACTTGAAGCCATATTCCTTGGAATACTCTGATCCATGAATCGGAACTTGGCCTGGAATCGGGCTCCAATGCGGGAGTACAAGTTTAGGATGTCTTTTTAGGATATGCACTTGTTCACTGCAGCATTTGGTACAAGTTTATCCCCCTCGAATTGGGTCTCAGCTTTGCTTCCCTCACGGTCAAAATGTCCACATGTATACCCTGTCCTCGATGAAGGTTTCGCAGAAGATTAGGCAGGGTGCAAGGCCTAAAAAACACGAGCAGTCAACCTAACAAATTCCACTAGACTACACTCAGCTACGAGGCAACCGGTGATAAATTCAATCGCCGCGGGTTTTCTGCCGCAAATCCAGCGGATCGTCAATTTTCGCCCTCACTCTCGCTTTCACTTTCCCAAAGAAAAAGGGCATAGCTCGCGAGAGCATCTGAGTTGTCGGGTGATTCGCTCAACGCCTTCTGAAACAGATCCTCCGCCTGAGTCTTATTATGGAGCCGTTGCCACGAGAACTGCGCGAAGCTCGTCAAAAGCCGCACGTCGTAAGGCGATCTTCGCATGGCGTCACGGAAGTATTTCTCCGCAGTAACTGTCTCTACCCACACCTCGTTCACAAATTCCGCAAACTCGGTTGGCAAGCTCGGCCGTCCTTTGCTGCTCTCAGCATTCTTCTCCAGACGTTGTCGAAACGCAACCACCCTGCCCTCGATCTCCGCGCCATCTACAGCCGAGCAAGGACCCGCCGAAGCATGGCCATCCCTGCAGATTCTACCGGAATCGGTCGCCTCTGGCGACCACGGCTGTCTGAAGACGGGTCTGCACCCTCGGCTGTTGCACTCAACGAGACCCACTGACGCCTCTGCTAGGAAGAACGGCTCGTTCCACGCCATGCTGACATCGTTTTTCTCGAGTATGCTCATTGGAGAGCACGGTGAGTCGACAGCAAAGCGCGCGGCTTGAGAAGATCTTGGGCGCTCAGTAAAGCGCTCGGGTTCAAGAAACTTGGAAGACGTCGCAGCGGGTGTAGCGGCGGATGGGTAATGGTGTTCTTGGGAGCATCCCCAGCCGAGATGGCTGACCGGGGTTTTAGCAGATGCATTCACGGCGTCGCTGCGGGGAGATTTGCTGCTCGAGACCCGACATTGCCGTGACGACGACAGGGGGAAGGTGATAGGTGAGCGGATCTGAAGACCGATGGCTTTGGCGGACGCGCCCTCCATAGTCAAGACTCAGGATGAATGTGGGCAGAAGGATGAGAAGAATCATGCACTGATGTGAGTCTTCCTGTGGCCTACTTGTGCTTCTTAGGAGGAAAGACAGAGACTTATGATGCCCAGTTGAAGCACACGGTCGGGAGAAGATGTCAAAACCCTAAGCAAACACTCATGGACTGAAGAAGAATGCCGGTGTCTAGTATCGATGGAGGACCATCATGAGCAGAGCAGACTGAAGGTTAGGTTTACAGTAGGACGAGACGAGACAGACTGCTGGAGCAGTAACTATGGGCTGTCTAATTCCAACAAAGATCACAACAGACAGCAACAAGAACGAGGGAAAAGAAACGTACAATATCTTCTTGCAAGCACGCTGGACTGGCAGTCTGGCAGCCTAGCCCAGCAAGCCCAATCACGGCAATAAGCTGTTGATGGACGGACAGTCTGTTCTGCTGTGGCATCATTTCTACATCGCGCTGGCAGATCTCGGGTTTCCCGCCTCTTCTCCACCGTGGCCTTCCCGGGAACCCCTCGATCTTACCACTAGCATTGCTGACGTGGGACGCAGCCCGCCAGTGGGACGATTTGGACCACAGTCCTGGGAGGTGTTTAGGGGATACTTTGGGTGAAAGGGAGTGCCAGCCATGCCCAGCATTGCAGGAGTGCGACCAAGTGGCCGCGCAAGTGTGAGGAGCTACGAGAACCACAAAGTTTTCCGCCAACGGAGTACGGAGCAGCTTGCGACGAATAGAATTGGTCCCAACGGCAAGGCTGTGGGAGAAAACATCCCGGGAAACCTGTGAGCAACCGCATAACTGCGGGCAGGCAGCTGTAAACACGTGGTGTCGAGCATGCTGCTGACATCACCATATTGTGGTGATGGGAGTGGATAAACTTTTTACTGCACTTTTGGCGATGGCTGTGGTGTACACTCGATAACAAGGTCACTTTCATCGCGAAATGCCACTAGATGTGACACAACAACCCTAGATTTCACGAGAAGAAGTGGTGTGATGTGATAGCAACTAAACGTTTACGGTCAAAATTGCCTTAACGCTTTTTCCTGAACAGTTGCAGATATTCTTATGATTGTTTTCACGTGTTTTCTGACAAGAACGAGTGTATCTACTCGAGGCCAGCGATTGGCAGCTCCTGGTTGCACTTTCTTCTGCCTTGACAGAGGCACCCAGTGCGTTAGCTTTACACTAGTTACAGATGTCCATAATCACAACTTCTCTTACAACGTAATGCGCAAACGAAATTATAAGTGGATCTTAAAGGCATCTAAATGCCATTCATATGCATATTCAAAGTAGGCACTGTTGGGAGGTAAGCGGAGCATTCAGAATATCATATTCCACATCCAGGAATTTGGGTCGCAACAATGGCCAGCTCTGGTGGCTTCTTTCTGCCTAGGCTTGCTTACCCGAGATCCTACGTGACCACTAGAAGGTTGTTTTCATGTCCGCTTGGTGTGTAAACAATGGCCCTGCGTGGATCAACCTTCCAATTTCCATCCACGATAAATTTGACCTGCGGTAGTAAAGGGACACAATTTTAAATAAGACCGTCACAAATCAGGTGCATATATGCACATAGCAAGGCAACACTGGAGCTACGAGGCTTCCGAAGTTTTTTGTTTTTATTTTTTCGTGCAACTACATGAGGTATGCATGGTTCAATCCGTAATCCATTGCTCATGAATTGGTAAGGTTTTGGGAGAGGCGAGCTAGCATGCCTCCTATGCAATGGTGTAGCACGAGGTTAGTACCGCAAGGGCCGTAAAAGAGTTGGGTGACAATAATGTGCGTACCTCATATTGTCCGGGGTACAGATGAAGAGTTGTTACGAACACCCCCGCATTTGACTTGACCATCTTGATCTGCCATCCAGATTCAAATTAAAAATTCGCCGCAAGTGAAAACACTACTGAGAAACGAGGAGAAAAACAGCACTGACGACATGGACTAACAACCACCCATACGAACATGCCCAGAGTGCATATCGGTACCCCCCCCCCCCCCCAAATTTCCAGAACGCGTTGATTGAATCATGGCGGCACGGAAAAGGGCAAAGGTTGTTCGTACCCCGTCGGTCCATGCATAAGCGGTTGGTCCAGCCATTAGAGGAGCCAGTGAGAAGCACTTCATTGCCGGGGTTGGGCCATCCATACCCGGTTGACCCATCCATACCCGGTTGACCCATTTCATGCATACCTGGTTGACCCATTTCATGCATACCTGGTTGACCCATCCCATGCATACCGGGTTGACCCATCCATACCCGGTTGACCCATCCCATGCATACCTGGTTGATCCATCCATACCCAGTTGACCCATCCCATGCGTACCCGGTTGGTCCATCCATTGAAGGAACCGGTGAGCAGCACTTCATTCCCGGGGTTGGGCCACACTACCCGAGTGGGCCTCAGCTGCACGTATGCCACCTGCAGCTCCCCCAGCTGCTGATCCTTCTCCTCCAACACGCGCCTCGTCTCCCTGCCAAGGAAAGATTGGGAGGGAACGGAGGGTGGCAGAACACGGGAGGGAAGGGAGGGGAAGTTGTTGGGCCACACCACTCGAGTGGGCGTCAGCTGCACATGCACCACCTGCAGCTCCCCCAGCTGCTGATCCTTCTCCTCCAACACGCACCTTGTCTCCCTGAAACGAGGTCAGCATAGGGAGGAAAAGGAAAGGGAGGGCGTTTGGGACCACACTACAATCAGAGTGCTATCCTGCCCTCCCTTTCCTTTCCTTTCCATTCCCGCAGGCAGTGCATCCAAGTGCATCCTCAGCAGCTCATCTCTCCACTCCCGCACCCTTGACCTCTGCTCCCCCCTTTCCCTCACACCCCACCTCCACACCCACACGCACCTGAATCCCCCTCCACCTATCCCATTCTTCCCCTCACCTGAACTCCGCAGCGAATATGCCTTCGAGAGCAGACACCTCGGCGCGCGTGGACCACAGCTCTGCTCGCATGTGCACCATCTCACTCTCCATCTCAGCCCCCTTCAATCATTGGGACCCTCACACCCATCGCCCCAACACCCACCTGAATTCGGCAGCGAATCTGCCTTCCAGCGCAGAGACCTCGGCACGCGTGGAGCGCAGCTCGGCTCGCGTGCGCAGCATCTCACTCTCTCGGAACTCTAGTGAGTCTGTCAGCCGCAGCAGCTCGCCCATTGTGCGACTGCGCATCTGATCATGTTTTACGGGGGGGAGGTGCAGTGGTGTGGTGGGGAAGGATAGAGCGGGGAAGGGAGTGGGTGGGAAGGTTGAGGCTAGGTGGAAAGAGCAGCACCTCACTCTCTCTGAACTCTAGTGAGTCTGTCAGCCGCAGCAGCTCGCCCAATGTGCGGCTGAGCATCTGATCACATGGTGTGGAGTGGTGGAGAGAGGTGGGGGGAGAGGTAGAAGAACGAAGGAGAGCAGAAGCATCACGAAATTGTGTATGCTGAGAGGATGTGTGGGTGTTTTGAGACGTCTCAAGACTCATCACGAAATCGTATATGCTGCTGAGGATGTGTGGGTGGTGAGAGCAGAAGCAAAACAATCACAGCATGTTCTCGCTCTGATAAACATCAACCAACTGATCACTTACATCGTCCACCTCAGCACTGACCTGTTCCAGCTCAGCATCTCGCCGACTCAGCGCCTCCCTCCCCTGCCTCAGCGCCGCACGCGTGGCAGCCAGCGATTGCTCGAGAGATCGGATGCGCCCCGTCACGCCTGCCAGCTCATCCGGGTCGCGCCTGAGGAAGGCAGCAGCTGGGGGAGGCTCAACTGGCGAAGCAGGGGGAGGTGGTAACCGGAACTTGCGCACTGGAGGTGAGGAAGGTTCCTTGCTCTGTGGTCTGTTTTCTGATGGCCGTTGCGAGTCTGTTGGTGAACGCCCTGTCTTGTCTGCATCTGCCGCTGCTGCTGCTGCTGGAGGGGGTGGTGCTGGTGCCTCACGTGCTGCGTCTTCTTCTGCTGCCGCCCCCGCTGTGGTTCCTGGCGCCTCTACAGCAGAAGAGGCGGAGCCGCGAGCCGAGGAGGAAGCGGATGGGGATGGGGGGAACGCACCCACAAGCCGTGACAGCACGGCTGCAGCTGAAGCAGACGCATCCTCATCATCAGTACCAACCCCTGGAAGATCAACAGCAGCAGACCCACCGCCAACAGCATCAGTACCCACACTAGCAGCAGCGCCAGTCCCAGTGAAAGAATCAGCAGTGGGTGCATTAGCCCCATCAGCACCCATCCCTGCACTGCCTCTCCTCCCCACCTCACCCTCGCTCCCTTTCCTTCCCACCCTCCGCCTCCTCTTCCTCACGCCAGGTCCATCTGGGGAAGGTGCCACCTCGTCTTGAGCACCAACTGCTATCTGGGGAAGAGGTGGGGGAGGTGTTATCTGGGATTGAGGAGAAGAAGGCGCTATCTCAGCTTGGGGAGAGGGAGGCGTTATCTGGTCCTGTGAGGGCTCTTGAGCTGCACCAGTCCCCGCAGCTGTCCCTACAGCTGTCCCTGAAGCAATCCCTGCAGCTGTGCCTGCCCCTGCACCAGTCCCTGCACCAGTCCCTGCAACAGCAGCTATGCTGCCAGCACCAGCCTCCAACCCCTCCAGCCTCTTTCTGAACGCCATCAGATTCGCCAGGCTGGCACTCAGTGCTGCATCAAAGCCGTCCAAATTCCCCACACTCCCCTCGATCACCCTCGCTCCCCCCACCCTCCCCTCTCCCACACTCCCCTCCCCCACTCTCCCTTCCAACACACTCCCTACCCCCACACCCCCATCACCCACTCTCCTCCTCTTCTCCTCCTCCTCTGCCTCCTCTCTGCTCCCCTTCTCCCCCTCGTCCTTCCCCGTGGCCCCCTCAACGCCCCCTCCTCCAATGCTTAGCCCCACACCAGGCTCCTGTACTGCTCCCCTCCCTGCCTCCTCTGCTCGCCCCTGGTTTGCTGGAGGGTTCTTTCTAGGGCGACCAACTGGCCTCCGCGGCTGCAGGGGGGCGGAGAGCGAAAGGAGGGGGAAAGGAGGGATAGAGGGAAAGACAATTTTAATCCGACTGAGAGGCCTCCCCTGCTCGTCCCTGGTTTGCCAAGCGGTTCTTCCTTGACGAAAATAGACCTTCCAAACCTAAAGTGCGCGCCCACAGGTTTCAGCGGCTAAGTCGACTCGGAAACGTCCTCTGCTCGCCCCTGGTTCGCTGGGGTGGGAAAGGTCCATGGCCGCCCCACTGGTCTCCATGGCTGCAGAGAGGAGGAGGTGGGGGGAGGGAGAGATGATTCTTCAGTCAACTCAAAAGACTTTCTCTCCTAGGCTACCTCTTTATCGTATAATATCATATCATATCATGTCATGTCATGTCATGTCATGTCATGTCATGTCATATCATATCACACCACCCACAAGCTAAGCACCCACCTTAACGGGACTGCTCATAACCACTGACTCCTCCGGTACAGCTCCTGCCACACCGCCCCCCTCACTACCACCCTCGCCCTCACCCCCCTTTCACGCCCACCCTCGCCCTCACCCTTACGACCTTTGAGTGGACACAAAGGCAAGGCACCCACCTTAACAGGACTGCTCATAACCACTGACTCCTCCGGTACAGCTCCTGCCACACCGCCCCCCTCACTACCACCCTCGCCCTCATCCGCTCCCCCTCCCTTCCCCTCCGCCCCCCCTGCTGCCCGCCCCCTCCTCCGCCTGCCCAGCCCCATCAGCCTCGCCACCGCACTCCACCCCATGCCCCTCCCCACCGCATCCCCACCTCCCCCTTCTCCCCCTCCTGCGCCCTGTGTTGCTCTCTGCCCTGCTGCTGGTACTGCCTCACCCCTCCCTCCTCCGCCCACTCTCCCCATGCCCCCCATCCCCTCAATCCCCTGCATTTCCTGCCCTGGCCCCATCCCCATAACCGCCGTCTCCTCCGCCCCCTTCCGCCACCATTGCACCCCCTCCTCTCCCTCCTTTGCACGCCCCTCCCCGTCCCGCCATGCCCCTCCCCCCGCCTGCTCCCTCGCCAGTTGCCTGAGTGCGGCTGCCAGGTCCCCCCGCCCCGCTTGTCTCAGCTGCTCCTGTGTCGGCATGATGCCTGCCTGCCCCGCTGCCGCTGAGAACGCCTGCAGCTGCTGCCGCAGTGCAGCAGGGCTGGGATGGGCCAGAGGAAAGAGGGGAACAGGGGACATGTGAAGGAGGACGGGGAACGGGGAAAGGGGGAATGAGGAATGGGAAGAGGAAAACGGGAAAGGGGAAGGGGGAAGGGGGAATGCACACACGCATGCACTCAGGCATGACTCAGGCATGACTCAGGCATGCAATCAAACACGCACTCAAGACATGCACACACGCATGGACACACGCATGCACACACGCATTCACACAGGCATGCGCACACGCATGCACACACGCATGCACACACGCATGCACACACGCATGCACACACGCATAAACACACGCATAAACATATGCACACACACGCATAAACACACATATAAACACACGCATAAACACACGCATAAACACACGCATGCACGCACACACACGTACTCGAGAGGGAGAGTCTCCTCCTCCACTTTCCTCCTCTTCCCACTCGGCCGCCTTCTCCTCCTCCTCTTCCGCTTCTCCCCCTCCTCTCCACCACTCCCATACCCCCTCCTCCCACCCCCCCTCCGCGCCCTGCTTGCCCCCCGGTCACTAGCACCCTTCTCCCTCCCACCCCTCCCCTCCCCTTCCTCGCCTCCACTACCCTCACCATCACTCACGCCCTCACTCTCGCTCCCACTCTCCTCCCCGCCCCGCACCCTGTCCTGCTGCCTGCTCCCATCGCCCCCACGCTTGCTCCCCTGAACCCCGTACCCCCTCTCCTGCCCCCCACGCGCACTGCTTGGCACGCTTGCACCAGGGTCAACGGGAGAGCCGGCAGCGGCATAACCCAGAGCCCCTGCACCGGAACTGCCCAGAGGGCTTGCACCGGAATTGCCCAGAGGGCTTGCACCGGAACTGCCCAGAGGGCTTGCACCGGAGATTGTTGGCGCTCTTGCAGTGGGATCGCCTATAGAGGTAGAGCTTGAGGTGGGATCACTGAGAGACGTAGAGGTAGGGGTAGGTGGAGAGGAAGAGGTAGAGGAAGGGGAAGAGGAAGGAGTGGAGGTAGCGGTAGCGGCGGGGTTCCACTGGATGGCGGGCAGTCCCAGCTGCTGGAAGAGCGCGGACAGGCGCATCTGCGCGCCCTGCACCACACTTGAAGACACCTTCCCCTCGCCGTCCGACCCTGAGGTGCTCGTTCCCCCGCTTTCAGACGCGCTCCCCTCTCCGCTTGTAAACGCCCTCGCTTCCCCATCTGAGCCTGACCCTGTGCCTGACCCTGAGGGCAAGCCTGACGCTGAGGGCAAGCCTGACGCTGGGCCTGACGCTAAGCCTCCTTCCCTCTGTGCGGTGGAACCTCTGCCCTCGTCTGAACCGGAATCATCCTCTGATGACGACGAGAATTCCTCCCACTCGCTGCTGCTTCCCCCCTCCCCCTCTGACCAGCCCTCCCCAGCTGACAATACTTCTTCCTCCTCTGACGAAGAGGACGCGTCCTCGTGAGAAGCCTCGAGCGCCCAGGATAGAGGCTCTGGAAACGAATTACGCGAGGAGAAGGGAGGGGCAGCGGCGGGGGTGAACCTGTACGAAGGACCCAAGGCAGAGGGACGGGGAGGGGGAGCGGCAGGCGGTGGAGCAGAGGCGGGAGCAGGAGCAGGAACACGGGCAGGAGCAGAAGCAGGAACACGGGCAGAAGAAGGAGGAGCAGGAGCAGGAGCACGGGCAGATGGATATAATTGGGATGTGGGCTGTGGGGGCGTGTCAAGCCCCGGCATCACATCCGCTCGCCAGTTCGCTGCTCCTGCCCCTGCCCCGCTCCTTCCCCCACTCGTTCCCCCACTCGTCGCCCCACTCGTTGCTCCTTGCATCACGCTACCTGCGCTTCTCCCGTCCGGCCTCCCCACGCCTCCCCCTGACACTGACCCCATTCCTCCTCCAACCCCTCTTGGCGTGGCACCCTCTTCCCCGCTTCCCCCTTCTGCCCAACCCTTCCCTCTACTATCAGCTCCTGGGGAAGGGCGGCGCGGAGAGGGCGGGGGGATGGGCGGGGAGGGTGGGGAGAGCATGGCGGACCAAAACCCTGACTCCGAGTCCACTCCGTCATCCACCGTTTCCACCTGCCGTTGACTCCGTTGACCCGAGCTACTCAGTTGACTTGCAGCCCGTTGACCCGGTTGACCCTCCCTGCCATTCCCACGTCTTCCACTAGCCTCTGTTATCCCCCATCCACTTGCATTTTCTCCCGCATTCCCCTTCCCTGTATTCCCCTTCTGCGCATCCCCCTTTACCCCATCCCCGGTCCCCGCATCCGCCGTCCCCGCGTCCCCCGCGTCCCCCACGTCCCAGCCGGCGCTGAGCCAACCGCCGTCCGCCAGGCACGCCGCCACGAGGTCGTGCCGGCCGGCGGCGAGCAGCTCGCGGCGCGTGGGGAAGCGGTCCGGGTGACCGTTGGCCACCATGAACTGGAAGATCGCCACCTCCAGCTCCACGCCGCCCCCCCATGCCGCGCCGCCTCCTACGCCGCCTCCCACGCCGCCTTCCATGCTGCCTTCCACTCTGCCTCTGCCACTAATGCCGCCGCTGGTGCCACTGTTGCTGCTGCTGCCACTGGTTCTGCTGATGTTGTTGCCATTGCTGCCACTGCTGCTGCTGCTGCCACTGCTGCTGCCACTGCTGTAGCCATTTGTCGAGCCTGAGGCAGCTGGTCTCAAACCATACCCGTTACTAGAGCTTCCGCTAAACCCAACAATACCGGAGCTGTTCCTACCATTACTGCTGTAGTCGCCTGTTCCCCCGACCGCACTGCCCACCAGCCCGCTTCTCCTTTGTCCAGGGGAACCAACACCTTGTAACGCGTACGGTGCTTTTCTCTTATTTGGAAAACAGAAGGAGCTAGCCTGAAAAACGTCCCTTTGCCGAACGCCTCTTCTCCGTTCCAACCGCGCAATCCCCGAATTCTGCGTCACAAGGTGCCTCGTTGCAAAAGCAAGCTGCCGTCCCTTCCAGTGGCGACACGCTCGCGACTCACAACCAGAAATACGCGAACATCGGGATTCATCGCGAGAGGAAAGACCTATCAGCAAGCCGTTCAACGACCTGCCTGAAAAGATAGGCCGTTGCACTGATCCCAAAACAAAAGCCCGCGGGTAATTCGCAATACCAGCAGGCTGGAGGAACGCCGGACGAGCTTGCGACCAATGGGGAGTTCGACCCGCCACCCGGACAGTACTATGTGACCGACACGTGGCAGCTGCTGGAGTATGCCAGCTGGCTCCTCTTGCTAAGTCCATGGGGCCTCCCGAATCTCGAGGCCCCAACTGTCTGATGCGAGCTAATCCGCGCGATTTCGGTGGACATGCATATGTCGCTAATCCGAGCAATCTATGTGACACGTATGACAGAAGGCACTACTACTATGCAGCTGTCGTAAGCAAGGGAGACACGACGTACGTGTGACGGGGTTGTGAAACGCATGACATGTATGATGTAGCTTGACCTCGCTGCATGATTAAAATCGCTCGCTCCACTCTGCAGGGGGCTGCATTCTCCACATAACCCTCCTCTCGAGCGGTCATTGAGAATTCTTAACGGTCATGGGAAATTCTTTGAAGTCTCTCGCGAGGACTTCAGTTCGGTACGTCGATGTGAGATTCTTCACTGGGAGTGAGATTCCATACTGTCAGTCAGAATGCTGTCCATAGTACCCATTGAAAAAACTCGATACGAGCATAACCTAGAAACCATCCCCCTACACCCGTCAATAAGCTTCCGTTAGAGATCGTTTCAGCGATTTGTTTACGAACTTCTTTGGGGAGCCTGAAGGCCCTAAACGTGCGACGATAATCCGCTTGACCTCTCGCTAGACCGAAACGCAACTGGAAGCGAGCTTCCGCACTCTAGACTCGAATTTCTGCGAGTACCGCTAAGGTAAGACACCCGCGATCTGACATGCTCCAGGTATGAAGCAGACAGAGTGGCACTGAGCTTCCGATGCTCCGGTATGATGCTAATTGAGTCTCCGAAATGGAGCTTTCGAAATGGAGCACGTACTAAGCAAGGAGCCACGGGAAGTGAACGACGGAAGCCTGCTCCATTCAGGCAAGTCGGATGCTCTCTGCCTTACCACGCTAGTCTAACAGGACCAGTCTTGAGAATTTATGATCTCAGGATTCTACCAGAGGGTGTTTGCAGGAGGAGATTCTGCAGCACAGAAGCTGGCGGGAAAGCTTAGGCGCGTCCCAGAAGCTATATGTTTCCTGATTGCCTAGCCAACCGACCTGGGTAGCATAATGACCGCGCTCACACGCGAATTACCATATTAGACCGTATTCAAACAAACTCATGCTCAGTGATCGGTGGGCCCCGACCCCAAGGAGTGATCGTTGGGCGCTTCTCGAAACGCTAGCAAGCTTCGCAAGCTGACGATGAGGTGGCGAACCCCGCGAGGCCATGTGAAACCACAAACTCCTTTACTGTACTGTTCTACTCTTGAAATTGAAGTTATAGACGAGGGAGGGTAAATGGTAAGGAGAAAGAAAGAAAACACCTAGAAAGAAAAGGTAAGATCAAAGTAAAACCAAGTTGAAAAGCAAAAACAAGTTGAAAGGAAATCTTGAAGTATGGAGTAATTAAGAATGAAGAAAGTTTTGAAGGAGAAGATAGATAGACTTGATAGGGATAAAAGGGACCAAACAAGATTGGCTTAAAAGAAAGTATTGAAGAAAAGGTAAAGGACTTGAAAGATACTTGAAAGGAACTTGTAACGAACTTGGAATAAGAACTTGATTATTATGGAAAGAGCTTGAATATAAAACAACTTGATAATAACAAATGAACTTTGATGTAAAAGAAACTTGGTGAAAAATGAGAGGAAGGGATAACCACTTACTTGAAAAGAGTTCTTACTATTATGTTGTAGAAGTTGATCTTCACTTCAAGCTTAAATGTTGTCTTAGTTGTTAATGAAGAACCTCAAAGCTTGAATGTTGAGAAGTTGATCTTGAGTGTTGACTTGTAGATAATGTTTGTTGAATGAAGATAAACCTCCAAGCTTGGATGTTGAGGTTGGAGCTTGGACCTTGGGTAGAAGAATACACCAATCTTGCTTGAAGCTTTAAAGTACATTAATCAAAGGGAGGTACATGGTAGGATCTTGAGATCAACTATCCTTGATGATCTAGAAGTAAAACTATGTGGCACAAACTTCTCTAGAATTGGAGCATATGGCTATGAGCTTGGGTTGGGAGAGGATGGTGGTGATGATGAAGCCTTAGGAGTTGGAGCATAAGGAGGAGGACTTGAGGTTGGCCTTGAGGGAGTTTGAAGAACTTGTTGAGAGTTTGGGTATGAAGTAGCATTGAAGAATATTTTTTTGAAGAAATGAAGAGGACCCTTTTGTATTTGGTGGAGCTTGATGTTGGATGAAGGATGAGGAAAGGATGAATGGTTGTGATTAGTTGAGTTGGATAAGATGGGGGTGATGAATGTGGCCTTGAAGTGAAGGCTTGGTGAAGAGAATGAATGTGGCCTTGAAGTTAAGGCTTGGTGAATGGGATGTATTTGGCTTTGATTTTAAAGCTTGGTGAGTGGAATGAATGTGGCTTGGATTGGAAGGCTTGGTATGGAATCTTTTGTTTGATTGGTGGATAATGGGATGAGAAAGATGATGAGGATAGGAGGAGAGTTGAGGTGGAGGATTGATAGGTTTTGATTGGTAGGTTTTTGCTGTCTGGAGATAGGAAGGGTGTGGTGGCGAGTGGGCATTTTTGCAAGATGCCTTTTGCATATTCGGATTTTGGCTGACGGGGAAATTGTGGCGAAAAATTTCGCCACGTGAAATATTTCCCGCCACCCTGGTGCCACGCGAGCAGCAGCCACAGTTCACTGCAACATCTACACCTTCCACAGATCGCGTTGGTAGGGTCAGATTGATCACACACGAGGCAATTGTCGTTACAGTACCTCCGAGTGGATTCTTGGCTTGTACTGCCACGTGGAAGCTTGATCAAGCCGTGTCGAAATGACATGTGGTCCAGGTTTTGCTGACAAGATCCAGCGCCCAGCAATCGAAGGACAACGGCAAAGACTCGACACGTTGGATTAGCGTCAGCGAAGTGTGACCACACGAGCCTGCTTGTCCCGGTGTTGGCCACACGCGTCAATTTCATGGTGCGCTGCGCAGTGATTACATAACGTTCTATGGTACACCACTCAAAAATCAAAGACGGCCTATATCGAGTTAAAACAGCATTGACCACAATAATTGTTCCATTCAACATGCAAGCTGCATGCTGTTGGTAGACCAGTTAGTAGCAAGATTAACAAATATCATAATCCATTTCATGAAAGCACTTGAAAAAGGGCATTCAACCATGAACCTTCTTTTCTGCCATGCGTCTCTGGAGCTCCTTCCGAAGACTGCAAGCCAGGGGAAACAACAGGCCATGCGAGGGGAAACAATGAACATTGTACATGGCAAAGGGAGTGCAGAAAGGGACAGATTGAACAGAAGATGAACAAAACAGGAACGCCTCAATTTCACTGCAAAACATCCCAATTCATAAAAACAATGAAAGGATACTTGCTGTTTCACATACCCTTGCTCGCGCTCTAGTCGACGAATCTCCTTTTGCTCCTTTTCCTCCTCCTCCTGCTGCTTCTGCTCCCTCCCGCCTCGTCCTCGCCTCCCCCCATTCCTCTCCTTGCTACTCCCACGACCCTCCTCACTCTCACTCCCACTCTCACTCCCTCCCACACGCCCATGCTCGGTCCCACCTGCATCCCTCTCCCCGTTCCATCTCTCATCCTCACCCCCATCTCTTCTCTCACCACCACCCCCCTGAACCAACCCCTCACCACCCTTCCGAACCGCCCCTCCTCCCACACCACCCTCCCCCTCATCCATCTCGTCAACCCCACGCCTGGCCCTCTTCCTTTCCCCTCCTCTCTCCTCCCCCCCACTCCCCTTCACCCCCTCTCCCTGCCCATCAGGCCCTTCCGAATCAGAATCATCTGACCGCCCTCTGCCTCGTACCACACCTTCCCCCACCCCCTCTCCCTCAACCCTCCCCTTCCCCTCAGCCCTCCTCTCGCTCTCATGCCTCTCCTCCACTCTCCCAGGGTCAGGGCTGCGGTTCCCTCCTCCTCCTCTCGCTCTCGGATCAGGGCTAACACTGCGTCTCCCTCCTTTCACTCTCGCGCTAGGACTAGGGCTGCGCCGCTGAGCCATGTGCTTGGGGCTGGGACTGCGTGGCCCTCCTCTCCCCCTGGGGCTACAGCTAACACTGCCTCTCCCTCCTCTCCCTCTGCGCTCCCGGGGGCTGGGACTAGGGCTGCGGCGGTGCCCCATGTGCTTGGGGGAGGGGCTACGCCCTCGCGGCCGGGGGCTGATGCCTCGCCCCCTCGGACTCACCCCCCTCCGCCTTCCCCCCTCCCTTCCGCTCTCCCTCGGACTCCTGTCCCTCAAATCCCTTGAATCTCTCCCCCTAGGGCTGCCCCCCCTTGGGCTCGCACTGCCGCTTCGGCCCCTCCTGCTGCCCGCTGCCCTCCCTCTGGGACTGGGACTGGGGCTTCTGTGAGCCCTGCGGTGATCTACCCCCCTCCGCTCAGGGCTCCTTCGGAAACTACCCCGGTAAGGGCTCCGCTCCCTGCCTCTCTCACCGCCACCCCGGCCCCTATACGGACTCCCCCCATCCCTTCCCCTGTAGGGGCTCCGCCCATCCCTGCCTCTGTAAGGGCTCCTCCTGTCCCTCCCATTGTCCCTCCCACTGCCCCTCCCACTGCCCCTGCCACCATCGTTCGGCCGTGACCGGGTGGTGGGGCTAGGGCTGGGGCTGCGGTGTCGCCTCATCACCCCATGCCTAGGGCTGGGACTACGTTGCTGCCTTCTTTGCACCCTGGGACTTGGGCTGCGGCGGCCAGGGCTGCGGCTCAAGCTTCTGCCAGGGCGTCTGGCAGGGCTTCTGCTGCTGCCCTCACGTCTGCCCCTCCTTTCCATGCCCCTCCTCTCGTCGTCCCTCGGCCTTCTCTCATCCTCCCATCCGTGCTCCCTGCCTCCGGCCGCACGCATTGCAGCAGAGCGCCCTCTCTGGTTCCAGGACAATGGGAAGAATGACAACAGGAAGAGAAAAGGATGGGCGAGAAGGGAATACGGATGTGAGGACTCAAGAAGAGCTGCTGCAGCGCAGCTTATGAACCTTCAAAACCGCACTTGTGTCGAGTCACCTAAATTGCTGCTTTGTCGAATCACCTGAGCTGCATAACCTTGAGCTGCTCTTTTAACACCGTCCCAAGGCATCTCACCCCAAGGCAGCTCACCTTATTCAGCAGCATCGCACCTCATCAAAGCAGTATCTCACCTCATCCAACCGCATCTCACCTCATCCAACCGCATCTCACCTCATCCAACCGCATCTCACCTCATCCAGCAGCATCTGTCGCAGCCTCTGTGCTTCTGCTGCCACCTCGTCTCCTCGCCTCCTCTCCTCCTCCACCCTCCTCCTCTCCTCCTCCTCCCTCCTCTCCTCCTCTTCCTCCTCTATTCGCATCCTCTCCATCCTCTCCTCCTCCTCTATCCTCTCCCTCTCCCTCCGCTCCTCCTCCTCCTGCATCCTCCTCTCTTCCTCCTCCTCCTGAGCCACACAGAGTTAAAAGACAAACAGAAAGACAGTGCAGAAAAATGCAGACAGTCACAACAAAGAGAAAGAGGGGAAAAACGAAATGGAGGAGGATGCATACAGGCAAGTGGACAGAGAATGCTCTTGCACTCAGCTGGATTCCTCTCACACACACATACATGCTGCTGACACAATCGAAGTGAAAGACAGAGATGGAAAGAGAGAACGACACAAACACAAATTACCAAAACCAGCTAGTAATACTCGAAAAGGAGGGAAATACTTATTTGAAAAAAAAGAAAAAGAAAAAGAGAGAGAGAGAGAGAGAGAGAGAGAGAGAGAGAGAGAGAGAGAGAGAGAGAGAGAGAGAGAGAGAGAGAGAGAGAGAGAGAGAGAGACATCGATCATCCTAGTAACAGCAATGCCTCACCTCCAGCCGTCGCCTCTCCTCCTCTTCCTCCAACTGCCTCAACCTCTCCGCCTCCTCCTCCTCCTCCCTCCGTCGCTGCTCCTCCTCTTCCCTGCAAACGGGATAGGGAGGGGGCGGATGTGCTAGGGTAAATTGCACAACAGTGAGAAGAGGAGGACCAAGGGTGAAAATCGGCGGGAAGGAAGGACGATGATAAACTAAGGAGCAATGAGATGAGGATGAATGAAGCAATTTGACAGTGGGAGAGGGCAAGCGGCAGGTCACTTTTGGAAAAAAAAAGGAAAGAAAAGGAAATAATGGAAAAAAAGGCTTGGATGAAACCGAAGGGATAAACGGATTTTTCAAGACATCTCAACACTCCCTGTAACCTCCCCCCCCCACCCCACCAATTCCCCTCCCCTAGAAACACCTGCCCCGTAAGCCTCACCGACGAACCCTCTCTTCCTCCTCTCGCGCCTTCCGCTCCTCCACCTCCTTCCTCTCTCTCTCCGCCCGTTCTCTCTCCGCCTTCCTCCGCTCCTCCCGCTCCCGCTGCTGCCTCTCCTCCTCGGCTCGCTGCTCCCTCGTGAATCGCCTCCTCCGCACGTTCCGCTCGTCGAAGTAATCCCCACCGTCGATCACCAGCTGTACTCTCGCCAGAGATAAAGATCCTTCCTGCAAGCAACCAATCAAGTGGGTGCAGGGGGGGAGGGAAGGAGGAGAACAGGGACATGAAGGGGAGCCGCACGTTCTGCTCGTCAAAGTAATCCCCACCGTCGATCACCAGCTACACTCTCGCCAGGGACGACGATCCTTCCTACAAGGCAGCGTTCAAGTGGAAAATCAGGAGGGGGAAGGGGGTTATGGGGGGAGGGGGGAAGGGGGGGGGGGGGGAGGGATTGGTGGTTAGGGGGCAAAGAAGGGGAGCCGCAAGTTCCACTCGTCAAAGTAATCCCCATAGTCGATCACCAGCTACACTCTCGCCAGAGACGACGATCCTTCCTACAAGGAATCGTTCAAGTGAAAATTCAGGGGCAGGGAGAGAGGGGTGGAGGGGGGAGGGGAGGAGAGGGAGAGGGGTGGAGGGGGGGAGGGGTGGAGGGGGAGAGCGGTGGAGGGAGGGAGGGGTGAAGGGGGAGAGGGGTGAAGAGGGAGAGGGGTGGGGGAGAACGGGGACATGAAGCAGAGCCACAAGTTTTTATCGTCAAAGTAATCCCCACCGTTGATCTCGAGCTGCACTCTTGCCAGAGACCACGATCCTTCGTACAAGAGACAACTGCTGTGAAACTGAGCTGCGCGCCTCAAAAGAAACCACGAGCCTTCCTATAAAAGATCGTGAGAAACTGAGAAAAAGAGAGGGGGGGGTTTGATGGGGAGGGGGGGGGTTTGATGGGGAGGGGGGGGGTTTGATGGGGAGGGGGGGGGGTTGATGGGGAGGGGGGGGGTTTGATGGGGAGGGGGGGGGTTTGATGGGGAGGGAGGGGTTTGATGGGGAGGGAGGGGTTTGATGGGGAGGGAGGGGTTTGATGGGGAGGGGGGGGTTTGATGGGGAGGGGGGGGTTTGATGGGGAGGGGGGGGGTTTGATGGGGAGGGGGGGGTTTGATGGGGAGGGGGGGGTTTGATGGGGAGGGGAGGGAAGGGGGGGAAGGGAGCAATGAGAAGGAGTAGCACGTTTCCCTCGTCTAGAGCCCCACCGTAAAGCACAAGCTGCACTCTCGCTAGGGACCTGTGTGTGAGTGGGTGCTGTGCGTGCGCGTGAGTGTGAGCGTGTGCTGTGCGTGTGTGTCCTGGGAATGTGTGTGTGTGCGAGTGTGTGCGTGTGTGTGTGTGTGTGCGAACACATATCACTCGCTCTCACCTTCTTCACCGCATGTCAAGCCAGCGCCTTCACTGCATCACAGAACGTGCTGTGGCTAATTTGAGGCGTCTCATAACAAACTCAATATCACATCACATCACATCACATCACATCACATCACTCCCTCTCACCTTCTTCACAGCATGTCGAGCCAGCGCCTTCACAGCATCACAGAACGTGCTGTGGCTGCCGAACCTCACCATCACGTCCGTCTCCAGCTTCAGCGCCAAACCTGCTCCCAAACCTAATCCCAAACCAGCCGTCCTCGATGCTGCTGCACCAGCAACCCCCAGGGTTCGTCCTTGTGTGACTTTAGCGGAGGGGAGCTCCTCGTTGGGGTCTAGAAGCTCGATGTTCCTGTAACGAGGGAAGTATTCCAGAAGAAGCATGAAACCAAATGACAATTTAGAGACGTTCTATAAACGTTTTGCTCGTGTAGCGAGAAAGGATTTCCAATAAGGAGCATCTGGCGATGCATCTGATTACCTGATGCTTCACCTGATCGTATCACCTGATGTTGCACCTGGTCAATTCACCTGATGACCTCACCTGATGGTACACCTGATATTGCGCCTGATGGTCCTACCTGACGGGACCAAACGAGGAGAAGACAGTGTGGGCGATCAGCAGCGACGGCTTCGTGGAAACCCGCTCTTCCGCCAACCAGCGGCACGGAATGCCGCATACCCTCAGCGTATCCGGGCGCTTTTCCGAACCACCCTTCCTTCCGGATTCCTCTGCCAGCCAATCGCGCATCAGCTCGCCATAGGACGGCGAATCTGCTGGCTCAGCATGACAGGTAATTCGAGCCGCGGAAACCCTAGTTTCCCAACTTCCGAAGTTAGAGACCACAGAAGAGGCTACGGATTCTCCTGAGGGTCCCCATAATAGCAGCGTCGCCACGGCGATTGGCTCGCCACGTGTGATCTTATCGAGGTTCTTCGTCCAGGAAATCGTGAGATCTTTCTCGTTAAAAGAAGGCCAATTGGACGCCGACGCGTGGGATCTGTATTTCGCCTCGATCGCCTCGCGCAGCTCCCATTGGTTGACGAGCTTCGGTAACCCGTCTTGTCGCACGAAGGAGAGCGAGATCGCACGGTACGGCACAAGCGAGAGGCCATGCCCGACACGCAAGTCTGAAATATCTTCCTTCTCTTTCTGAACCAGCACGGGAACTAGGCTTGTCGCCATAGCTCCGCCGTCTCACGATGCACGAGTTTTAGGTCAGTAAACTACCTCCGTGCAAGATACTAGCATCTGGAAACGTTCTCAGCCGAGCCGACTCCTGGTCCTGGACTGGATTATGGAGTTGACAAATTCGGAGAGAGGGAGAGTCAAGGCAGATCAGTCCAGTCCAGGTTTGCAATAATCGCTTTAGAGTGCACCGCGATACAACACGTAAAATGTGAAATAACTATCTTAGAACAATAACGATTAACTAAATACATGTGCTGGTCAGATCAGTTTGCGCAATCACAATCCCTGATATCCAGCCAATATTTAGAAATCCGAGGTGCACATCTAAGGCAGGTAACAAAGGATAGCCCCGTCGAAGTGAGGAGGCGGCCTGAACTAGACAATCAGGCATTTAAGTGGCAACTCGATGTAAGCATGAAATAGGATCTGTCAGCACAGGGGAGGGAACATTCAAGTTACAAGGGAGTTCTGTCGTACAAGAGGGCTTAACCAAGACAGATGGAAGCCTGACTAAGGCCTTAAGCGGCACAATCAGGTGTACAATATCAAATCAAGGGAAAAGAGCATTGAGTCGAGGAGAAAATGTGTTTCAATCAAGTACAAGCATTGTTTCAGTCGAGGTAGAAGAGGGTGACGATCTTGCCCATGTCCTTGGCCTCCTGACACGTCTCCATGAGCAGCCGGCTGTCATGGAAGCGAATGACTTGTGAGTCGACACAGAGTCATTTCGAGCCCACCCCAATCCCGATGGGTGCTTAAGAGTGGAAGCGTTCTAATCAAGGTAGAAGAGGGTGACGATCTTGCCCATGTCCTTGGCCTCCTGACATGTCTCCATGAGCAGCCGGCTGTCGTGAAAAGCGAAGCAGATCACATGCTCCACCTCCGATAGAATGTCCATGTTGCACAGCCTGTGTGGCACATGGCAGGGAGGGTGAGGAGAGGACAGCGAGAGACAGTGAGGGGGGATAAGGAGCCACTTGGAGGCAGATCACATGCTCCAAGAAGACAGAATGTCCATGTTGCACAGCCTGTGTGGCACATGGCAGGGAGGGTGAGGAGAGGACAGCGAGAGACAGTGAGGGGGGATAAGGAGCCACTTGGAGGCAGATCACATGCTCCAAGAAGACAGAATGTCCATGTTGCACAGCCTGTGTGGCACATGGCAGGGAGGGTGAGGAGAGGACAGCGAGAGACAGTGAGGGGGGATAAGGAGCCACTTGGAGGCAGATCACATGCTCCAAGAAGACAGAATGTCCATGTTGCACAGCCTGTGTGGCACATGGCAGGGAGGGTGAGGAGAGGACAGCGAGAGACAGTGAGGGGGGATAAGGAGCCACTTGGAGGCAGATCACATGCTCCAAGAAGACAGAATGTCCATGTTGCACAGCCTGTGTGGCACATGGCAGGGAGGGTGAGGAGAGGACAGCGAGAGACAGTGAGGGGGGATAAGGAGCCACTTGGAGGCAGATCACATGCTCCAAGAAGACAGAATGTCCATGTTGCACAGCCTGTGTGGCACATGGCAGGGAGGGTGAGGAGAGGACAGCGAGAGACAGTGAGGGGGGATAAGGAGCCACTTGGAGGCAGATCACATGCTCCAAGAAGACAGAATGTCCATGTTGCACAGCCTGTGTGGCACATGGCAGGGAGGGTGAGGAGAGGACAGCGAGAGACAGTGAGGGGGGATAAGGAGCCACTTGGAGGCAGATCACATGCTCCAAGAAGACAGAATGTCCATGTTGCACAGCCTGTGTGGCACATGGCAGGGAGGGTGAGGAGAGGACAGCGAGAGACAGTGAGGGGGGATAAGGAGCCACTTGGAGGCAGATCACATGCTCCAAGAAGACAGAATGTCCATGTTGCACAGCCTGTGTGGCACATGGCAGGGAGGGTGAGGAGAGGACAGCGAGAGACAGTGAGGGGGGATAAGGAGCCACTTGGAGGCAGATCACATGCTCCAAGAAGACAGAATGTCCATGTTGCACAGCCTGTGTGGCACAAGGGGGAAGGGGAGAGCTGATGCCGGAAAGTAAGTGGTGCGAGCAGACATGCCAGAAAGGCATGCTGAAGCAGATCACATGCTCCACCTTCGATAGAATGTCCATGTTGCACACCTGTGGGGCAGAATGAAGAGCGGGAGAGGGAAGGAAGGGAGATGGGGAAACGGGAGAGGGAAGATTTGCTGTTGATTCTCTAGAGCAGACAGACAGTCACCCGTAAGCAGATCAAATGCTCTATATTTGATAAGAGCCCATGTTCCACAGCCCGAGGGCTCATGGGTAGGGGAATCACATGGGTGAAGGATGGTGCAGGTGAGAGGGAGAGGGTGACGAAAGTGAGGGGCTTTGGGGAGAGGGGCTATGGAATAGGAATGAGCGAGAGGTGGGTGAGCGACGCAGATCACATCACATCCACATTCCCCATGCTCGCCTCCCACAGGTCCCCCATGTGGCATGGGCTGTGCGCGGTTCTGAAAAACTTCTCCCCACAGCCTGTGTGCAGATGGGCGAGGCGATGCGATGTGGGAAGGGTTTATGTTGAAGCTGGAAGGAGAAAGTGGGCGGGGCAGCAGGCAATATCTGCTGCCTGGGAATGCAGTGCCATACCTGCTGGCTTCCAGTAGTGGCAGATGGTCGTTGTGAGGCTTCTCCACTAGGTTCTCCACCTGCCATAACATGGACAGCCAGTTGAGGGTGGGGAGGGAGAGAGTAGGAGAAAGAGGAGAGTGAGGGAGACGGAGAGAATTATGAAATGGATAACGGTCAGCAGCTCATCGATCGACCCTTCGTCCTCGACCTCCCTCTCACCTTCTCACCTTCTCACCTCCTTCACTCACCATCTTCAGCACCTACCCCTCCTCACGTGCACACCTTTTTTAGCAGCTCCTGGCCTTCAGGCGGCTGCTTGTCGAGGGACTGCGGCAGGATGATGGTGAGCAGCTCCTACCTCTCACCTTCGTCTCCCCTTCACTAAACCCTGAACCCTGTTCACCTTCTCGACTCACCTTCTTGAGCAGCTCCTGGCTTTCAGTAGGCTGCTTCCCCAGTGACTGCGGCAGGATGACGGTCAGCAGCTGCTACCTCTCAACTTCGTCCTCCCCACTTCGCCCTCCCCCAGACTCACCTTCTTCAGCAGCTCCTGGCTCTCGGGAGGCTGCTTGCCGAGCGACTGGGGCAGGATGACGGTGAGCAGCTCCGCCTTCTCCGCCCTTAGCGCCCCGCGGATCACTGCCGCGTTCGTGCCCGCTGCCCCCGACGTGTAGATGTGGTTGTTCTGCACGCAAGGTGAGGAAGAGGGGGACGGGGAAGGGGGGGACCAAGAAAAGTTGGGGGTGGAGAGGGGAGGGGGAAGGAGAGGGAGGGGGGAGATCAGCGAGGGGAAGAGGGTGGGAAGAGGAAGGAGGGAAAGAGGGAAGGGGGCGTTTATTGAGGGAGGATTGGAGGAGGGGACAGGGTTTATCCACCTGTCAGGGGAAGTGAGAAGAGGCGGAGTGGCGAGAAGGGGAGAGGGGAGAGGGGGATTGGGGAGAGTAAGAGCAGGGAGCGGGTTTTGATTATCACACAGCACAGAACAGGAGTCACCAGCCTCCATCTCACAGTGATGATAAATTCTGAAGATTCTCAAAAGCGACTCACAGTGATGATGATGGCATAGCTGAGGATCTTGATGAGCTGCTGATGCATGGAGCCCATGTTGCGCGTGCCAAAGAAACACTCGATACAGCCCCACTCAGTCTCAGATCACACATCGTGATATCATGGCATAGCTGAGGATCGGATTCAGCTGTTGGTGCACGAATCCCCTGCTGCCACAAAAATACCTGATACAGCCCCATTGATACAGCCCCATTGATACAGCCCCATTGATACAGCCCCATTGATACCACACCAAACACAGCCCGCATCGCACTCACCGTAATAATCATAGCATAGCTGAGGATTTCAATCAGCTGTTGGTGCATGAAGCCCATGTTGCGCGTGCCAACACCCGATACAGCCCCTCCCACACATAGCACGCGTACCGCACACCGCACACAGCCCGCATCCCTCACTCACAGTAATAATCATGGCATAGCTGAGGATTTCAATCAGCTGCTGGTGCATGAAGCCCATGTTGCGCGTGCCAAAGAAGCCAATGTTCCGCGGCCCCGACTGCTGGATGGCCAGCAGCTCCTGCAGGTAGTCCACGTCAGGGGGGCTCCTCTGCGTCTCCACCACCAGCGTCGTCGCCCCTGTAGTGATCGCCTCCAGCTGCGTAGGCAAGTCCTCCGTGAACATCCGAACCTCCATGCCCCTATCCATAACCCCCCCCTGCCGCATCTCCATGCCCCTCCCCTCCTGCATCGCTGCTAGTCTCGCCTCCAGCCTTCGCTCCAAATCCCTTCCCCCGGATGCATCTTCATCCGAAGCAGCTGCTCTCGAATTCGAGCCTCCTGCAGTGGTGGCGTGTGGTCTCACGGGTCGGACAACCTGTGTACCATCAAAGGAACAACCGTGCCGCGGCTGCTGGCAGTGCAGCGACAGTCCGCGGAGAGGCAAGGAACGCCTTGGGAATGCCGAGCTACTCCAGCTGACGAGGGTCGCTCGGTGGTGATTGGTGATGGGTGAGAGTGGTGCCACGTGTCCGTTTGGGCGTGAGGTGCGCCTGGGAAAGCAAGAGGAATTGCAAAGATGGGGAGCGATTTGATTAGAGAAGGGATCTTTTTTCGAGTATTGAATGAACTGGATATTCGGATGGCTTCTACGCGTGCGTGTGAGGTGAATCTGAGGATCGACAAGAGGGATTGGAGACCTGTGGATTGAAAAGAGGATCCCAGTGGTGAGTGAGCTGGATGATTGGCATTTTGAGACTTCATTGCAAAGGACAATTGGATGAGCTGCAGTGTTTTGCTATTACGGGTTTACTTGTAGGGTTGTGAGCTGCTTTCGACAGGGATATGACCCATTACTGGCAGTGCGCACTGGCTTGTTAATCAAAAGGCAGTGTGGAATACCATTCTGAGTCGACTCAAAAGTCATCTTGCTTTCGTCAGGGATATGATCCGTTACTGGCAGTGCGCACTGGCTTGTTAGTCAAGATGCATGGTGGAAGAACACGGCGGCTGGATCAGAAAGTTCTCGTGAATGAAATGGCTTGACGATGGGGACGAAAGCGGCAAAGCAGCACCAGAGGAACGGCGAGAATGCGACAGAATGAAAGGCGACGGCATGAAGGCAACAGCGTGAAGGAGACAGTATGTAAGAAACAGTTCTGTCGGCAACAGTTGACGGCGACGGGTAACGGTGGGGATCATGACGATCAGAAGCGAGGAAAAGTTTAAAAAACGGAGCCACGACCAGAAGCAGAGCCATGATCATCAATATGACTGTGAAACGCTCGTCTTTACTGCCAGCACACCCACACCCAGCACGTACCTCACGCACCCAGCAGGAGCTGGCTTTGAGTCAACTCGAGAATCACCCAGCACGTACCCGACGCTGTGCAGATGCGTCGGGGAGGCGAACGCGGATGGTCGAATACCCAACATCAGATCCGCCTTGAGTGTTACCGGCAAGGGTCCAGGAACCTTTTCTAGTACTTTCTGATAGGATATCCTAAACGTGCTCCAGAAATGCGTAAAAGAAGAATGGCTCGCACGGAACAAAGCTGTCGAGGCGCGCAGGATCTCAAAATAATTCAGAAGAAGCGGCGAGACAAGAATGCGATTCACGCCAGGTCGGCTGTAAGGAGATTATGCCTACCGACGAGCCTCCAAGCGAATATACTGCTTGAAAATACAATCATGTAAGAAAAACTGCAGTCGAATCTTGAGGCACAAGCTTAGAAGGAGACCAGTGTCCCGATCGAATCGCTAAGACGCCATGGAACTTGAATGAGACCAGGAATCTGTGAGCAAGAACAAAAACCAAGGCTGGTTGAAAGATGCATGTTTGGCTGAAGCAATGCCTCGCCGGAAAACCTGGCTGCTCGGAGCAATGCTGGTTGCAAGCTAGGAGTTCCTGATCCGGGCAGCAGAAATGGCGGAATCAAAATGTTATATTGGCGAATAGAATCAAAGCGGTAATGAGAGAGCAGGAACGATGATTGGGTCACGTGGTAAGGAAGACATTTTCGATTGGTCAGTATACGATTTTGTCCCCGACGAAAGGGCACCTTTTGCCTCAGCGACTGTCCCTTTCGCGTCAGCGCCGATGCACCATTTTAGCTGAAAAAAAAATGCTGTAATACCAGCACCCAGAAGCTTACAGTTGCATAATGTTACACTATATCCTTACACGACTAGTTAAATGCTTTTCTGCTCATTCAGCACCAATTGCCAGCAGATGCATATGCGTGGCAAAGAAAAACTGAATAAAAGCTGGGAACTCCAGGAACTCAATGTGAGCCGCTCTTCCCAGCAGGCGGTTCAAATTACGTTGCTGTTGCGGCAACTCAAAGTTAACGTCACAGCGAATGAATGATCGATCTCCAGACGTCCACGAAGGATGGGAGAGGAATGGCGCAAGGCAGCCTTCAACCATTGATGTGTACACGCCACCGAGACGAGCATCCCTCAGCACCGCACCGAAGACCTCCAGACGGGCGGAATGATACGGCACATACTCGTCCTGAGGTGGCTCGACAGGCGGGCACAGGAATGGGGAGGGAGAGGCGATTGAACGAGTGACATGGAGTGTATGGATAAAGTGCAAGCTGGCGTGGCATAAGTCAGGAAGATAACTGATGGTTTGCAGGGCGGCATGAGTTGATGAGAGGGGAGGGAGGGATGCACCTGGGGCGAGGCAAAGAGAACGATGTGCTTGAAGTGGACCCACTCCTGGCGCTGCAGGCATGGTGGAGCAACAAACGGACAGAAAGGGAGAGATAGAAAGGGACACACAGACACGGTGGGTTCCACAAGGAGTGTGAAAAGCCAGGGATTAAGTCAGGGCTGACAGCAGATTGCAAAAGTCACACTGGCACACACATGGATGTCTGTGTGTGATTGCGGAGTCCGCAAGTTGGAAAATTCTCAAGCACACACAAGGCCGGACCGACCTTTGAGTCGACTCAGAAGTAAAAATAACAATAATATAAATTACACACGGCCAGACCGACCTGAGAGAGGCGGTAGATGCAGGAGTCGCGGACGTTGAGCGAATCGGAGAAGGACAGCTGGCGCATGAGGGAGGAGGGGTCGAGGCGCTTGAGCAGCCACATGCCGCCCGTGACGAGGGAGTTGGAGTGGTACATGTAGCCCAGGTGGGGGCCACAGAAGGACAGGTAGAGGTGCAGATAGGGCAGGTACGGCCGCATGCTGTCGTCTGCAGTGGGGAGCAGGGCAGGAGAGAGGGAGTCACGGGATAGAAGATGTGTAAAAAAAGGCACAAAATGAAGGCCCTTGGGCAGGGAGTTGATTGAAGGGGCCAGTGGCATGGATATGTGGAGTGTGGCAGGCACACCCCCTCCCCCACCCCGGGCCCCCGTGACGAGGGAGTTGGAGTGGTACAAGTAGCCCAGTTGGGGCCCACAGAAGGAGAGGTAGAGGTGCAGGTAGGGCAGGTAGGGCCGCATGCTGTCGTCCGCAGGGGAGCACGGCATAAGGTTGGGGTTCAAAGGATGGAATGTCTTGGGAGCAAAGAGAAGCCATGCGAATGGCAGGGTCAATTGGGACGAGTGAAGGTGCAGGTAGGTCAGGTGAGGCCTGGGGCCACGGCCCAGGTGGGGCCACAGCCCAGGTGGGGACCAAAGGGGGACAGGTAGATACGGCAGACATAGCCAGCATCTCACATTCGTAAGAGAAAGTCCGGGGGCTAGATGACCTGCTAGCACCGCCCATTACCTGCTAGCACCGCCCATTACCTGCCAGCACCGCCCATTACCTGCCAGCACTTCCCATTACCTGCTAGCACCGCCCATTACCTGCCAGCACTTCCCAATTCCTGTCAGTGCAGCCCATTACCTGCCAGTGCCGCCCGCACGACAAGGTTCCCAATGGAGTAGCCCACAAAGGACAGCCGCTGTAACACGTTCTTCCTATTGGGCCGGTCGATCGGCCCAAACATGCTGCGTAACGCGGTTACCACCTCGTGAGCCAGGCGAGCGCCCATCGCCTCCACCCCACTCAGGTCGGGGGCGCGGGCGGGCGAGTGCGACGAGGAGGAGGGGGAGGGGGAGTGCGGGGCGGCGGAGTTTGTCTCGTTGCTCTCGGCCATGAGGCACTCAATGTCCGGGTCTAGTAGGCGCCAGCTGTCACGCACGAGCCTTAGGTCCATGCGGTGGCCCTGATAGCCATGCACAAACACCACCACATGCTTCCCCCGTGTCGCCTTCCTGCCACCCTCCCCTCCTGTCGAACCTGCGGCAGATACACCTGGGGATTCTGCACCCCCTGCTGCTGCTGCCGCTGCTGCTGGGCTGAGTGACGGGAGGTGGTTGAGATGGGTGGGGATGGGTGGGCGGTGGGGCGAGGAGAGGCAGAAAGGGATGGAGGCGGGTGGGTAGGAGTGCAGAGAGGAGAGGAGGAAGTCGAGAGAGGTGGAGGTGGTGGGAAGGAGGGAGGGGGACATGGGGAGGGGAGGACTGGGGAAGGTGGATGTGGGATTAGTGGCGTCTATGACAGAAGCAGCAGCAGCAGCAAAGCTGGCAGGTGAAGCAGGAGTGGTGGGAGTGGAGGGAGTAGTGGGAGTGGTGGGGGTGTGGGGCGTGGGTGTGAGAGGAGGTGAGGAGATGGAGGTGAGGGAAAGAGGCAGCAGCGAGTGGCAGAAGAGCAGCGGCTGCATGAGTGGGCGGGAGTAGAGACGCATGTCCTGCAGGCAGGACGGCACACAGGGCAGCGTGCGCTGGGGGACACAGAGGGAAACAGGCAGGGCAGGATGGGGGAAGAAGGGAGGGGGATGAGGGAGAGGTGAGGGGCGGTGTGGGGTTATTGAGAAGGAGTGGGTGCGACTAGAGAAGCATGTCCTGCAGGCACGACGGCACACAGGGCAGTGTGCACTGGGGGGAAGCATAGGGGAACAGGCAGTGCAGGGAAGCAGGGAGGGGCGGAGGAAGAGTGGGAGAGCACAAGGGCATGAATGGGCGAGGAGGCAAAGAGAATAAATATGGTTGAGCAGAGGAAATGAGGAACGGAAGGGGTAGATAGAAGATCATGGCAGTGATGGGGTTACGGCGGCACGAGAAGGGAACAGTACCAGGTTGAGAGTGGTGGTGAGGGTGGGTCGAGGCAGCAGCTGGGGCCGGCAGGGAGGCAGGGCGAGCACGGAGGAGGGCACTGCAGGCATGGCCGCCCGCACCTGGCGGGCCAAGGCTGCTGAGAGGAGCGCCAACTGAGAGGGGTGTGGGGGGAGAGAGGTGTGGCGGAGGGAGGAGGCGGGATTGGGGATGCAGTTATGGCAGCGGTGGGTTGGCAGGGCGAGCACGGAGGAGGGCACTGCAGCCATGGCCGCCCGCACCTGGCGGGCCAAGGCTGCTGAGAGGAGCGCGAGCTGGAGGGGAGTGGGAGAGATGGAATGGGGACGCAGCAGTCAAGTGAGGGCAAGGCCTCACGAGGCCCCTGAAACGTCACTCTGAGGCGGCCCTGGAAAGCCGTTCTGAGGCGCCTCACAAGCAACTCGCACCTGGGGAGCCAAGGCTGCTGAGAGGAGCGGCAGCTGAGAAGGTGTGAGACGAGAGAGGTGGGTGGGTGGATGCTGGGATAAGACAAGCAGAAGAATAGCAAGCCACTCAAGTCGGTGTCCTCTTGTTGCAGCAGGGAGTGCTTGGCGATAGTGACATTGAGGCAGCAAGCAATCAAGGGAAACCTTTATAGTGGACCTCGAGAACTAAGAGAGTCAGAGGCGGAGAAGACAGGCAGACGACAGGTGACTTTCGAGACGTCTCAAAACTCGCGGCAGCAAGCAATCAAGGCAACAAACTCTGAGCGGACCTCGAGAATTATGAGAGTAAGAGATGGAGAAGACAGGCGGACGGCAGGTGACTCACATCGCTCTGCTTGTCTGGCGGCATGAATTGCCTGGCTGTGGTGACATCGGGCCAGCGGTCGAGGCCAAAGAGCTGCTCTGTCTGTATGGGCGAGGAAGACGCATACACCCACGGCGCTGCTTCTCGTGTTTGGTTTGCCACCCACTGCTGCCGCAGCACCGCACACAGCTCCACGTGGCACAGCCTGTTTGGATGGGAGGAGGAGCGTGGACGGGTGGAATGGAGGGGGGACAGGAGCAAGGGCGGAAGGAGAAAGAAGTGGTTCTGTGCAAGTCAGAAACCTGCTAACCTTGCGAGGTGACTTCTGAGTCGACCCACAAGTCACCTTGCTAACCTCTGAGCCGACTGAAGAGGTTCTGTGCAAGTGAGATACCTCTAACCTTGCTAGTGCTTTGGCTTCAGTCCTTAGGAGGGATCGCGAGGAAAGAGGAAGGGACAAAGTGACCGAACACGGTTTCACATGCAAGAAAAACCCTTGTGGTGCATACGTCTTACGCGTGTGCAAAAGCTGCGCATACGTATTACGTGTGTGCAAAAGCTGCACATACGTATTACGCGTGTGCAAAAGCTGCGCATACGTATTACGTGTGTGCAAAAGCTGCGCATACGTATTACGCGTGTGCAAAAGCTGCGCATACGTATTACGCGTGTGCAAAAGCTCATGTGTGAGCCACTCATGTGTATTACGTGCATGCTGAGGAAGGACGTCCAGTAGGCAGTCACGAGACTCCTATTGAAGCAACCAAAAGCAGCAACGGTCAGCAAGTATGCATTGAGGCTTTAGATGTGTGACGACTCGCTTGTGCATGCCGAGGAAGGACGTCCAGTAGGCAGTCACACGAGAGAGTGCTTTTGAGGTGTCTCAAAGATGGATAGACGGTCATTGCTTGTTGTGAGGTGTCTAAGAATTGAACAAATGGTCAGCAGCGTGCTGAGGAAGGACGTGCAGTAGGCAGTCACACAAGAGAGAGAGTGTTTGTGAGGAGTCTCAGAAACGCACAGATGGTCCGCAAGCAGTGGAGTGGAGACTCACTTGTGCATGCTGAGGAAGGACGTCCAGTACACAGTCACACGAGAGAGTGCTCGTGCTTGCTGAGGAAGGACATGCTGAGAGAATGGTCAGCAGCAGAGACTCACTTGTGCATGCTGAAGAAGGACGTCCAGTACGCAGTCACGAGACCCTTTGCAGCAACCTTCACTGCTTCCACTTCCTCCTCCGTTAAACTCACACTCCCATCAGTCACAGTCACTCCAGTGGTGGTGGTGGTATCCCTCTTCCCTAACTGACTGCCCGTCCCATCCTCTGCACTCAACTCCGCCTTCCCACTTTCCTCCCTGCTTCCACCCCCAGCATCGGTAACCCCATCACCCCCACCATCATCACCGCTCTTTACCGTGCCCGACCCACCACTACTCTGCTCCCCTCCCCCATCACCCCCCACAGCCACACCTTCTCCCTCCCACTCCTGTGCTCTCCCCTTCAATCCATTGTCACCTCCGTTACAGTCATTACCACCCCCTTCACTACTCGCTGCATCCTCTCCACTCCCGCTCGCCCCTCTCTCTGTTGCTGGACCTGGCCCCTCACTTCTGCTCGTCTCCACTCCACCGGATTTCGCCCTTGCCCTGTCAGCATCTGCCCCGTCAGCATTTGCCCTGTCAGCATCTGCCCCGTCAGCATTTGCCCTGTCAGCATCTGCCCCGTCAGCATCTGCCACGGCAGCACGTTCCCTGTCAGCATCTGGCCTGTCAGCATCTGCTCTGTCGGACTGACCCATCAGCTTGCGCAGTGCACTGGCGAGCACCGGAGAGCAGAGCGACTGGAGAAAGGGGGAAGGAGAAGGGACGAAGGTGGGGAAGAGGAAGGGAGTATTAGGGATGAGGAAATAATACCAAGAGGGATTGAGAGAGTGAATAGTTTCTTTTGAGTATGTGCATACCAATAATTTGAGAGAGTATGTGCTGGTGTGGAACAAGATCTTCACCTGTAAATGGTTATGTGACCATGCATGGAATGGAAATCATACACCACCCCCCCACACACACACCCACACGCACCCACACCCACACCCACACACACCTGCTCAGCCATGGCGTCTGGGGGAGGCAGCAGGTGGTGCAGGTTGTATGTGGCAGCGAGCGCAGCGTTGAGCGAGCGCAGGAGGAGAGAGGACTCGAGCAGCAGACACGCCATGGTCGCTGTTGCGGGCTCTGCTAGCTGCAGGGGAGGAAGGAGTGGTGTGTGAAGGGAAGAGAGGGAGTAGAGTGAGTGAACGGAGACAGGACTCCAGCAGCAGACACACCATTGTCGCTGCTGAGGGCTCTGCTAGCTGCAGGGGAGGAAGGAGTGGTGTGTGAAGGGAAGAGAGGGAGTAGAGTGAGTGAACGGAGACAGGACTCCAGCAGCAGACACGCCATTGTCGCTGCTGAGGGCTCTGCTAGCTGCAGGGGAGGAAGGAGTGGTGTGTGAAGGGAAGAGAGGGAGTAGAGTGAGTGAACGGAGACAGGACTCCAGCAGCAGACACACCATTGTCGCTGCTGAGGGCTCCGCGAGCTGCAGGGGAGGAAGGAGTGGTGTGTGAAGGGAAGAGAGGGAGTAGAGTGAGTGAACGGAGACAGGACTCCAGCAGCAGACACACCATTGTCGCTGCTGAGGGCTCCGCGAGCTGCAGGGGAGGAAGGAGTGGTGTGTGAAGGGAAGAGAGAGAGTAGAGTGAGTGAACGGAGACAGGACTCCAGCAGCAGACACACCATTGTCGCTGCTGAGGGCTCTGCTAGCTGCATGCAGCAATTAACACAGAGAGCAAAAGGGAGGCGAGAGTGGGTGTGATGGGAACCACTAATCGGAGAGAGGACTCGAGCAGCAGACACGCTATGGTTGTTGTGGAGGGCTCCGCGAGCTGCAGGGGAGGAAGGAGTGGTGTGTGAAGGGAGGAGGGGGAGTGAAGGGAGGAACTAGAGTGAGTGCACGGATAAAGAGGACTCGAGCAGTAGACTCGCCATGGTTCTTGTTGAGGGTTCTGCTAACTGCAGAGAGTGATCAGAAAGAACAGAAGGCAAAACGTTGGGAAGGGGAACGGGGGAGGAAGTGGGTGTGAAGGGAGGGAGCAACTGGAGCAGCAGACATGGCAAGGCAAGGTCCTTGTGAATTAGTCAGCGAGTCAGATCCCCTTTCTTGCATGCTTACTCATAACGTGACAGACACCTTCCCTCACTTACTCACACACACACTCACCTTCGCCTTGCCATTCTTCTCCCGCTCCCCTGCTCCAGAACCCTCTCCGCTCCTTCCCCTGCCCGCCCCAGGCGCCTCTCCATCCTTCCCATTGGCCGCACCACCTGTGATTCCAGTTCCCCCTCTGGCCACACCAGCAGCAGCCTCCCCACCTCTGGTGGGAGTGCTCTCAAGCATCTCATCTGGAAATGACTTGTCTGCAACATCCTTACCCACCACGTCACTCTGCTCCCCCTGCGCCACAACAAAGCTACCCTCCGCCTCATAGAACTCCTCCCTGCCCTCCGCATGGCCTCCTGTGTCTGCCCCTGCAGCTCCTTCCCCTGATGCACCTGCCACTGATGCACCTCCCCCTGCTGCACCTGCCCCTGATGCACCTGCCCCTGCTGCTGCCCCTGCTGATATACCAGCTCCTCCTGCTGCTGCAGTTACTGCATCTGCCCCTGCACCTGCAGCTGCAGCAGCGTGGCCTGCAGCTGCACCCTCGTCTGCACTGCCTGCACCAGCCAATTCCTCACCACCACCAGCCCTGGGAGCATGAGCATCAGCAGCAGTCACAGCAGTGGTGCCGGCAGCCTGGGATGTAATGGCAGGGGCGCTGTCATCTTGGGACGTAACAGCAGTGGTGGGCTGCTGGGGGAGCGGTTGTGAGGAGTTGTCAGAGGTGTAGAAGGTGATTGGAGGCAGATCCGCCGGTGGAGGGAGTGTGGCGGGAGGGGGTCTCACTGGACGCACAACCCTGGGGTGTCATGGTGGGGAAAGGTCGTTGGGAGTGGTGGGTGGGAGATTTGGAGGAATTGAGGATAGGGAGCAAATGCTTGCGCGGGGAGTGAGGAAGAGGGAGGGGAGAAATAAAATAATACATCTAGGAATCTCTAAAACTTGAGTGTCACATGCCGCCAGGGTGTAACACTACTGACCTGGGTCGAGGTGCGGAGTGCAGAGGCGGGTTGGAGAAGTACAGCATGGCAGCATGCACAGTGGCGTCCAGCTGTGCGAAGTGCATGGTGTCGAATGTGACGGGCGTGTACTCGTGCATGTGCTGCCACATAACCATGCTATGTGCTGCCACACACACACACGGCCTGCTACCATATGCCACGTGTGTTTGCCCTTTTCATGTGAGAGTTCCCACTAACCTGGGTTGATGCGTGGCGTGAAGAGATGGGTTGGAGAAGTGCAGCATGGCGGCATGCACCGTGACATCCAGCTGGGCGAAGTGCATGGTGTCGAATGTGACCGGCGTGTACTCATGCACGTGCTGCCACATGCCCATGCTGCCTGCTGCCACACACACACCCACATGCTCCCTGTTGCTGCCACAAACACACATGCTGCCTGCTACCATATGCCACTTGTGTTTGCCTTTTGAGGCATCTGAACACTCCAAGAATACACTTCCACTGACCTGGGTCGATGTGCGGAGTGCAGAGGCGGGTTGGAGAAATGCAGCATGGCGGCATGAACAGTGACGTCCAGCTGTGCGAAGTGCATGGTGTCGAATGTGACAGGCGTGTACTCGTGCACGTGGTGCCACATGCCGCCCGGAATGCGCACTATCTGCCGCGCTACAGGGTCTAGGTCGTCGGGTGGGACGTTGCCGCGGCCCGCTGTGAAGGGCGCGTGGAGGAGCTCGAAACGCAGCGATACGGGCTCGTCGAATGGCCTCTGGGGGACAGGGGAAGGGGACGAGAAGGGCGCAGAGATGCAAGCACACACAAGTGCATGCAGGCGGGAGAAGAGACGCAGACCATGAGAGACATGTTGCACACATGAGAGACATGTTGCACACATCTGAGTTGCGTCCAGGTCATCAGGAGGCACGTTCCCCCCGCCCGCTGTGAAGGGCATGTGGAGGAGAGGAGCTCAAAGGGCAGCGATAGAGGGTTGTCGAATGGTCTCTGGAGGACAGGGACGAGGAACGCAGGGCACACACACGCAAGCACACACAGCGAGAAGAAGGACACGTGCATACCTTTTGGCGCACAGCAGGTCGAAGCAGGCGACCTCCCGAAGCCCCACATCCTGGCGTGTGCGTGCCATGCTCTTTGCCCACCACTGCCCCACACACACCACTGCCCCACACACACCAGTGCAACACATGTGCATTATGCATACCTTCTGGCGCACAGGCACGTGGAAGCAGGCGACCTCTCGTAGCCCCACGCCCTGCCATGTGTGTGTGCACCAGGCGCCTTACTGCCTGTGACGCCTGTGTGAGCATGCCCCACTACCACACACGCACATACCATTGCACCACTCGTACACACCTTGTGGCGCACGGGCAGGTGGAAGCAGGCGACCTCTCGTAACCCCACGTCCTGGCTTGTATGCACCACGCTCTTTGTTGTCTGTGCTTACTACTGCCCCACCACTGCAGCACTCGCACACACCTTCTGGCGCACGGGCAGGTGGAAGCACGCGACCTCTCTTAGCCCCACGTCCTGGCGGGCGAAGCGGATGCGGAAGTAGCGCGAGTGGTAGCTGCTGTCGCTGTCGTCCACCCGCCATGACGTCAGCGCCTCGCCCTTGTGAGTCTCTGGGACTGGGGTTGAGAGAGGAGGATGAATGAAACGTCAGGGACTGATGGAAATGACGCATCAGGGATTGACGGAATGTTTGATCGAATGTCACTGAAATGCTATAAACTGAGGGGATTTTCAAACAATGTCAGGGATTGGATTGATGGTAAGTTGTCAGCGATTGGTGGAATATCACGAACATTGTCATGAACTGATGGAATGTCATTGAGATGTCAGGCATTGATGGAATGGCATTGAAATGCCAGGCATTGATGGGATGTCAGTGAATTGTCAGGCATTGATGGGATGTCGTTGAAATGTCAGGGATTGATGTGATGTCAGTGGAATGTCAGGCATTGTTGATGGAATGTCAGGCATTGTTGATGGAATGTCAGTGGAACCTCAGGGATTGATGGGGTGGCTTTGAAATATCAGGCATTGTTGATGGAATGTACAATAAATGATGATGCAATGTCAATCAAGGAGGAAACGGAACACCGCAGAAACTGTAAGCTCACTCGCTGGAAGCATCAGAGGGAAGTTCAAGACGTGTGCTTGCTTCGTGCTCGCGAGGAACGGAAAGCTGACGTGACGGCTCACATGCGTACTGCAGATGTGTTTTGAGTCGACTCAAAACACACCTGAAAGCATCAGAGGGAAGTTCAAGACGTGTGCTTGCTGCGTGCTCGCGAGGAACGGAAAGCTGACGTGACGGCTCACATGCGTACTGCAGAACGCGTGACGGGGACGCCAATCGCCCGGAGCTGTCCCACACGCATTGCACCTTCACGCCGTACCACCTGCGATTGCACGATGCCACGTCAGCACGGACTGAAACCACGGAGATCCAACATACTGATAGACTCGAAACGAAGTCACACAAAAACGACATTCGCGACCAGGGAAGTGGTTACTAGCGTACCCTTGTTTCAGCAGGTCGAGGTTATGAAAATTGTGGAGATACACCGCTACCTCCAGCTCTGGCTGGTTCGCCATTCTTGACCGTTGATTCGCCGTAATCAACGACGTTCCTCAGCAGGTGGTGACTGTAGAGGTTGCGAGAAATTCGCGCAGGGAATCTGGCAGCTCTGGCTAGTTTCTCATTCGGTGTCAGGGCTGGTCCGAAATACAGTACCAGGGTCGAAGACGAATGGTGATTGGTCAAGCGTATGAAGAATGACCCATCGCGAATCACGGCTGTAACTCAGGTGCTTAAGAGGCAAAGATAGTGAGCAGCAAGAAAGTTACAGCGCACATATCGAGCACGAACGAGAGACCTAGCCATAGGCGAACGGAATCTATTTCCACACGAAATCACTCCATTCAGGGAAGGGAGAGGGTGCTAGCACGTGAATGCACCCAATCCTGAGGTTCTCCCATCCCATCCCAACCTGCTAATGTTGACCTCATTTGGAGAGTGAAGCTCGTTCGGCACAGCAATTGCAACGGTACACTTCGTTGGGATTGCCTGCTAACTTCAAATATATCTACCTGTTCCCTGAAAAGCATTCCTGCTTGGTTTCATCATATCCGAACTTGTCTTGGGCTCTTGGGCTGTGCACTATTCTTGCATCAGCACAGAGCTTCTGAAGAACAAAAATCCATAAAGCCTCTAGAAAATCAAAACTAGCTATCTATGGCTGCATGCTATGTTGGCTTCTCGTACGTGTTGGCATCCATCCAATCACGGCACATCTTCTGCACCATGTCGGCTGCATCCGCTAGAATCAACATGTGAGTGTCGTCTAGAACCTGAGGAATGGCAACAGAGCGAACGGTAACATGAATCAAACGGATACTCATGCCTGCTTCAGAAACATGCGGTTCAGATTGAAGTTGGTTGGTTGAGATTTCTCAAAAATGAGTCAAACAACGAACAATGAGGGGTATTTGCGGAAGAGCATAGCACCTGAAGAATAAACTTCTCGGCGCCTCCCCGTTTGCTGTCCAGAAAGATGATATACTGCGCCATGGGGATGTCGCTGGTAGAAACGGAGCAAGAGAAAGAGAGGCGGAAAGGGAGGGAGGGCTGGAAGGGGGGAGAGGCGTGAGAGGGGAGCGCCTCCCCTCTTGCTGTCCAGAAAGATGATATACTGCGCCATGGGAATGTCGCTGGTAGAAACGGAGTGAGAGGAAGAGAGGGGGAAGGGGGGGATAGAAAGGGAACGGGAACGGGGAAGGGGGAAGGTGGGGGAGAGAGGTAAGAGGGGGGGAGAGAGGGAGGAGATGGCAGAAGAGAAAAGAGTCGCATGCGCTGAGCCATGCGAGCGTTGTTTGGGAAAGGATAGCTAAAACAGGTCAGAGACAGCAAGGAGGACATGAATGCAAACATCACTCGCACAGCTGCTACCACCAATGTTTGCACATAATCGGTGCCGCTGATACCGAGGCGACCGGCGAAACAAGAGCCATGGATGGAAGAACGGAAGAATGGACGACCTCAAATGGACTGTACTAACCATTCAATCAGCACATTTTTAAGTCGCCTAAAAAAGGAAGAACCGACGACCTTAAACAGCGGGTACTAACCATTCGATCAGGACACCCTTCTGCGCGTTCACCATCCTGCGCGCATCACTGTTTACAGCCACTAAAACCTGGCTAAAAGATTCACGTTACAGCGTCGTCGAGCTATTCATGCTATTGCTACAGGCACTCAGCACAGCCGAGAATTTTTTTCCTGCATGAATCATAATTCCAGGGCGCGGGGCGTTTCATGAAAATTTATAATTTTTAAACACAAGAAGTGTTTTTCAAAATTTCGTATTTCGAAAGCGCAGCTGCTTGTAACACATGTTTTGGCATCGTCGAAGCGCGCTAAACGCCCTTCTCCAACTACAAATCGTGGGTTAGAGCTCATTTCCCTCCACCCACGTCTCTCATTTTTCCAACGGCTCATACAACTCTAGTTTCTCAAGCTCACTTCTAATTTTACCGTTCAAGCTGGCGAGAACTCGCTCGTTGCCTAGAGGCGTTTCCCCTTCAACTTTATTAGCCGACATCCTTAACCAAAACCGCTCAACTATGACTGCAACGCCGACACTTAACCGTGCCAACAACAACGTCGCCAACGACCCAATTATTTCCGACAACGACAGTAACGCCCGTGAAACGACGGGCGAGCGTCGCAACAAGCGCCGGGCAGACGGCGAAACATCCGGCCCGACCGCCGTGGACGTGCTACTGGACGGGCTCGAAGTCAACAAAAACGCCGAGCAGCACCCCCAGCACCCTTCGGCGCCAGTGGCACATGTGGCGCCAGTGGCGCCTGTGGCGAACGTGGCGACACACGCCACTGACGCGGAGCACGCGCCAGCGGCACACGCCTCCGGCCGGCCGTCGCGTCAGCGCCAGAGGCGTCGTACGGCCGCTTCGTCCGACGCGACGGCTGACCAAGCCTTGACCGAGGCGTTGACCCCGGACCAAGTCAAGGCCCTCCTGTCCCTGTTACAGCAGCACCCCGCTAGCGCGACCGCCGCCGAAACTACACAACCCGCAGCATCTGCATCGGCTAAAAACTGTCAAGATACTAAGCACCTAGGAAACTAGGTTTAGGCTTAGGATGCTTAGTTAGGAGTAGGAGCTAGGGTTTAGCCTTAGGCAAAGTAGAAGTCCAAGCAAAAGGAGTGATTCAACTATAGAATGGACAAGTACAAATAGAAGAGAAGCATGCAAGGAGTGGTGCACCACCACACAGGACAATAATGGGACTACACTACAGCTAGAACTACATGCGCTTATACAGAACATATATCAAATATATTCCGACACACCCCCAAAGTGCATGCAGGAATAGCCATGTGCAGAACACCCCCTGAAGTGGTACACCCTGCAGGGCGCAGCAGAAGGAGAGGCGAAGTGAGGAGGAGGGGGAAGAACTGTGAGAGGAGAGGAGACAGGAGGCGGCGGCTGAAGCTGCAGACACACGGGAAGAACAGTGGCTACCGGGACAACGCCCCGGACTACTGGAGTAACTGGCTCGGCGGCAACGAGGAGCGGCAAGAGCAACGGACCCACGGGCGACTGGCGTAGCAGGCTCGCTGGGCTACCGAGAGCACGAGGGCCCAGGACTACTGGCGCTGCTGGCGACACGACGGATACCTCCGTTCAACTTCCCCCATTGCCCCACACCCCCTTCTACAACACTAGCGCCATTCCCTCGGCTCCCCCCACACCCTCCCCCCCTCAGCAGCAGCTGCAGCAGTGGGAGAGAGAGAAGGAGGAGGGGCAGCTTACTCATACCCGCCACCCCCAGCTCCCCCCACACTCCCTCGGCTTCCCCCACACCCTCCCCCCCTCAGCAGCAGCTGCAGCAGTGGGAGAGAGGCCACCCCCACACCCTCCCCCCCACTGCCGCACGCGCAGCATGGAGATGAAGGGGAAGGGTGGGGGGGGGTGGGCGGGGGGGCGGGGTAGGAGGTGCGCGGGCGACAGCAGGGCGCGCTGGCGGGCAGAACCCGTAGCGCGTCCAAGGCGCGCGACGGGCAGAAACCGTCGCACGCCCGGGGCGCGTGACGGGCAGAAACCGTCGCACGCCCGGGGCGCGCGACGGGCAGAGAACCGTCGTACGCCCGGGGCGCGCGACGGGCAGGAAACCGTCGCGCGCCCGGGGCGCACGACGGGGACGAAATCGCCGCACGCCCGGAGCGCGCGACGAGCAGAAAATCGACGCGCGCCCGGGGCACGCGACAGGCAGAAAACCGACGGGATCCGAAATCGCAGGCAGAAAACCGACGGGCAGAAAAACGGGCAGAGGGGCCCATGAGCGGAAGCGTAGTAGGCATAGGATCGAAACGCTCTGATACCATGTCAAGATACTAAGCACCTAGGAAACTAGGTTTAGGCTTAGGATGCTTAGTTAGGAGTAGGAGCTAGGGTTTAGCCTTAGGCAAAGTAGAAGTCCAAGCAAAAGGAGTGATTCAATTATAGAATGACAAGTACAAATAGAGGAGAAGCATGCAAGGAGTGGTGCACCACCACACAGGACAATAATGGGACTACACTACAGCTAGAACTACATGCGCTTATACAGAACATATATCAAATATATTCTGACAAAAACGACATTGCAAAAAAGGAGAAAGGAGCAAAAGGACCATCAACGCGCCGCCACGACAAGGAGGCGGTGACCAGTGCTCCTGAAGCCGCAGCGGTCAACAACGACTCCGACGACTCAGACGACGACGCCGGTGAGGCTCCGAACAACGCAACAAATTTTGCCTCCATGGAAAATCTTCCCCCCCTCCCTTCCCCTAACCCCACTTTTTCGGCGGCAAACTTCATCGATCGATCGTGCGAGCGAAAGTGGAGCCCCTGGAGGACGTGAGGGCCTACCTGAAGCACGCGGAGTACAAACTGCAGCGCGGCGATGCGGCGGGCGGACTTGAAATGGTCGCGAGCGCCCTCGACTACATTTCGGAGCGCTACGAAATGCTTCAAGTCGAGGACGCCACCGACGATCGCGTCGCCAAGCGGTTCAAGATGTACCAGCGGAAGAGCCTCCTCACCTCCCGCCCCTTCAAGCAAGTCGTCGCCGACGTGGCAGCAATGGATCGCGCGGAGGGTATGCACGCTCGATCCCACCGCGGCGGAGGACGCGGGCCAATGGCGTTCAACCCCAAGCGTGGCCCGCCTATGGGGAGCTTCCACGGCTTCCGTGGGACGTGCTTCCGCTGTGGCCAGCCGGGGCATGTGGCAAGTGGCTGCCCGCGGAATGGCAATGGTGGCCAAGGACCCGCACCCGTGGTGTAGGGACGGTCCTTGAGCGTTTGCGCCTTAGCGCGCGTGGCACGGTGCACGTCAAGTGCGTTGACCGTGGGCAACCCAAAGGGGTTTGCGATGGCTATTTGCTAAGCCCTAGTTAGGGGTGATGATTAGGCTATAGGCCTAGGAGGCGGGAGAGGGAAGAGAAAGCCCTTTGGTCCCATAAATTGGCCCACGCGGTGCGGGGCGGATGCATGCTAGGAAGCATGGCTAGGTGTGGCCCGTTTCTTATAAGGGCTTTATTTTAAGAAGTACTTTCTGATCTAGGCTTGGATGACCAAAAAAAAAAAAAAAAAAAAAAACCAGAGAACGACGAAATGGCAAGCACCCACACGATCCCGAGCAAATGGCCCCACCACTCGTCGGCATGGGCTGCCTTGGTCTTGGCCACGGGCCAAAGGGCAAATCATGACATAAGGAAAAGCAAGAGCGAATGCAAAGAGGGAACGAGAGAGAGACAGCGAGAGAGAGAGAGAGAGAGAGAGAGAGAGAGAGAGAGAGAGAGAGAGAGAGAGAGAGAGAGAGAGAGAGAGAGAGAGGGAGAGAGAGGGAGAAAGAGAGAGAAAAGGAGAGAGAGCGAGAAGGAGAGAGAAGGAGAGAGCAAGGGAGAGGGAGGGAGTGAGAGGGAGTGAGAGAGAGAATGAGAGAGAGAGAAAGGGGAGAGAGAGAGAGAGAGAGAGAGAGAGAGAGAGAGAGAGAGAGAGAGAGAGAGAGAGAGAGAGAGAGAGAGAGAGAGAGAGAGAGAGATGAAGGAGGTGAACCGCGTTACGCGGACGCAATGGGTGACAAACGTTGATTATGACTTGTTCATGCGTCTATAGGCACACGTCCATCGCATGCACATTCCCTTGGGGCACGATGGCTTGCATTCTAACACTTTTCTGGTCCATTGTCACTTGGCAAACATGCAGAGGTAATACGATACGAGGCGCCAGGCAACGGAGATCCATACGAGTTCGCTGTCACTGAAAAATCGGCCACGCAAATGCGCGGGCGGCTTCGCGCAACCCTTGCATGGTGGAGCTCGTGGTGCCCCAGCAGCCTCATCCTCTCTGTCATCGCTAACGGTTACTGGCTGCCATGGAGCCACAACCCACCACAACCGTTTCACGAGCGCAACTATCTCGGGGCGCACACACACGCTGCGTTCACACGCACTGCCATTCGCGAACTTACAGAGACTGGCGCGGCGGTAGTCACTCCAGCAGCGGAACTCAAATGTATAAGCCCACTTAACGTGGTTGAGCAACGAGAAAAATGCAGGCTAATCCTCGACCTCAGGAAAGTGAACGCGCACCTGATCATCCCGAAATTCAAATACGAAGGCCTAAGCCGTGTGGCCGACCTGGCACGCATGGGAGATTGGATGTTCTCTATCGACCTCAAGTCAGGATACCACCATATTGACATACACAACTCTTGCTGGAAATTCCTTGGCTTCGCATTCAAAGGGCGCACGTACTCCTTCCGTTCATTACCCTTCGGCCTCGCCACAGCGCCATTTGTCTTCACACAGCTCATCAAGCAACTAGCCAGGCGCTGGCGTGAACAAGGCGTTCGAGTGATACCCTTTGTGGACGATATCCTGTTCTTATGCACGTCCAAGGCTCACGCACAAGCAACATGCCAGCAGATAATTTCGGACCTTAAGATGGCGGGCTTGGTGATTAACGCGAAAAAATCGCACCTTTTACCATCACAACATCTGCGATTCTTGGGCGTCGAGTTGGACACCAAATCCGGACATTTCTCCATCGGCGCCGATCGACGGGCGTCACTGCACGCACATATTCGGAGCCTACTGGGCGCAAGCAAAGCGCGCCGACACGTTCCAGTCCGCCACCTGGCCAGAGTCACCTGCACACTCGCATCGATGGCCGTCGCACTCGGCGCCACGACTCGTGCATTCAGCCACGCCATGCTACAAGCAATAAACGATGCGCCATCCTGGGGAAGCAGCTTGAGCATTTCCCCACCTGTTGCTGAAGAGTTGCAGTTCTGGCTTGAAGAGTTTGACAAATTCAATGGCGCACCATTCCACGTCCAGAACAGTTACGACGCGGTAATTCACGTGGACGCGAGCTCCCATAGTTAAGGTGCCACACTGCTCACCTTCCCTGGTGAACTCGAGGAAGCAAGCGCAGCCATGCCGGAACCAGTGCACATAACGTCCAGCACGCGGAGGGAAATTGAAGGCGTCCTTTGGGCCCTTCGAACGTACGCGAACAAGGTTCAGCACAAGCACGTGCTCGTGAGGGTGGACAACCAAGGGGTCTTTTTCATCCTTCGCAAAGGCGGCTCTCGCACCCCTGACCTCACCACCGCTTGCAATGACATCATCCGCACATGCATGGAGCTCAGCACTCGATTAATTGTCGAATGGATCCCGCGCGAGCTAAACTCCCATGTCGATGAGCTATCCAAGATGATCGACCACGACGACTACTGTTTGAAACAACCATGGTTCCGCATCCTCAATCGCCACTGGGGACCTCACTCAATCGACCTCTTCGCGAGCCCAAACAACTCGCAGCTGCCACGTTTTTGCTCAAAGATACCACACCCGGGGGCCACTGCGATTGACGCATTCTCGATTTCGTGGTTGACCGAGAATGGCTTCGCGTTCCCGCCACCCCAGTTAGTTCCAGCAGTCATCCACCACGCACAACGCACCCACGCATCAATCACCCTCGTTGTCCCACACTGGACAGGGGCAACCTGGTGGCCGCTCCTACAACCCTCCCCACCTAGCTGGGCCCCGCACATCCAAGCGCACATTCCCCTGACGCACGGCAGCCAATGTTTAGCAGTAGGAACGCACCGCACCGCTTTCTCAGGCACAGGATTGCCTCATAGTACAATCGTCGCATTACGAGTGGTCTTCAACTAACACATCTCGTCCTCATTCGCGCAGACGTACTGCCAAAACTACAAGGCCAGCTTCTAAAGATGCTCTCGCAGTCTCGCGCTGACTCAACGATCCAAACATACGAGCCATACTGGGTCAAGTTTCGAGCCTTCTGTGCAAAGGTGAACCTCCCATTCCTCCCCGCGGCGGACATGACCCTCGCACTGTACTTGGTGTACGCCATCAAACGCAAAGCCACCCTATCTATGGTACAACTTACATGCTCAGCCGTGAGCTTCGCCCACCACATGACCAGGAGCGCATGCCCAACGGCAGGACCATTCACCACTCAAGTACGCGACTTCGCAAAAAGGCATTGTCCTCGCCCCACGAGAGTGAAGGAGCCCGTCTCGCTGCAACAAGTTCGTGACATGTCTGCTGGATACCTGCAATCTGACAACCCTGGGGAATTCCAGAAAGGGCTCATCCCCATTCTCATGTACTCCGGTTTCCTGCGATATTCGGACCTCGTCGCCATAGAGTGGCAAGACATCCAGTTCGAAGACGAGGTCATGTGGATCAAGACGGACCAAGCTGGAAAGGGCACATGGGTACCTATCGCTGCAACACACGATCCCTTCTGCCCTGTCCGCTGCACTCGACGACTTATTCGACTCGCAGGATATGACCAGCAGTCGGGGGGGCCGTTGATTCGCATCTTCGGTCACAGTTCCACCCAAGGTGGCCAAGCAAGGCCACCCTCATATCCGACAATCCGAAACTGGTGCAAAGAGGCCTTCGGGAAGATCGGACTTCGAGAACAGCAGCTGGGAACTCATTCCTTTCGCAAGGGTGCAGCCACTGCCGCGGCAAACACCGGCGTGCCAGACAGAATCTTCAAACGACTGGGCAGATGGCGTAGTGACGCAGCAAAGGAGATGTACGTCACGCCTAACGCTGAACATCTCGTCAACGCCTCCCGCCAGTTGCAGGACCTGAATCACGCCCCGTCTCCAGCACAGCACGCAGCGGCACTCATCCGTCATCGAAAACCCCTGCTACCCATGTCTCAAGGACCCCAGTTGAAATGAGAACGATGCCAAATCATAAGAGAAAGCAAGCTTTCTAAATATTATATTTTTTAAACACACGAAGTGTTTTTCAAAATTTCGTATTTCAAAAGCGCAGCTGCTTGTAACACATGTTTTGGCATCGTCGAAGCGCGCTAAACGCCCTTCTCCAACTACAAATCGTGGGTTGGAGCTCATTTCCCTCCACCCACGTCTCTCATTTTTCCAACGGCTCATACAACTCTCCCACCCCCCGCCCCAACATCGATGGACATCACGGACGCTGTTTGAACACGAAGATGGATAGCCAGTAGCATAATAGATAGCGAGTATAATGATTAATAGCTAGTACAATGATTGATACGTAGTATAATATGTACTAGCACTTCTGTTTCCTAGCTTGAGATGCATGTTGTAATGAGAACAGTTGAAATGAGAACGATGCCCGGTTGAAATGAGAACGATGCCAAATCATAAGTAAGAGAAAACAAGCTTTCTAAATCGGTGGAATGAACTCATGTGCATCGTCGTACACGCTATTGAGTGACCGTGTAAGTCGCTAAGAATAAGGAGCTTACTAGATGCATTCCACTTGGCCAATGTTTATATCATTTGAGGCTTGCATAGTATATTCAGTAATACGTACTGATTTCACAGCTGATCAAACACAGCACATGAATCTCTCTGCACAGATCCATCAAGACTGGGAGTGCGTTGTGCTGGCAGACGACGGCCTGCGGTCAGAATTGAGCGACGCCTTATCAAAGATGTATCCGAACGTCCAATCATACGATGCCACGTCGACACAGGAAGCTAGCGTGGGGTTCCTCCGCATGGCAAGCTTCCGTGCCATGGTGATCCGTGCAGGCAAGGGCAGCTGGTTGAGAGCCCACTCCAAGAGACCAGCATCTGAATCTGCAAAGTCAGAGGCGTGCCTGGAGGGAAACGAGAGGGTACCGTAGATTGAGCAGATGGGAACACGGAAAGCTTTCTGGGGCGCCTTAAGTATGATGCAGGCAGGCGCAGGGAGCAGCCCATTCCAAGATGCCAGAATTCAAGGCTGCAAAGTCAGACGAGTGCTTTGATGGAGAGAGGGGGTAGATTGACAGGGAAAGGGAAAGCGACTTTCAAGGCATGTGAAGAACCCCTGCAGGCAAAAAGACTTCCAAGGCACCATCAGTACCGGCACCAACACCAGCACCAGCAGCAGGATCAGCCATCTCACTGACCATTTGAGGAGGCGGGGGAGGCAGACACGGTTATCAGCAGTCATGCCAATGCAGCTGGCGAGATAGAGGTCTCTGGCATGCTCCAGCTGCGAGTGCAGGGAGTGCGGCAGGTAGGCTCGCAGCACAGCACCAGCACCCGAAGCAACACCACACACACCAACACCAGCACCAGCACCAATACCAGCACCAGCAGCAGTACCGGAATGAATGGAATTACAGCATCACTCACCATTTTAAGAGGCGGGGGAGGCACACGCGGTTGTCAGCAGTCATGCCGATGCAGCTGGCGAGGTAGAGGTCTCTGGCGTGCTCCAGCTGCGAGAGCAGTGAGTGCGGCAGGTAGGCGCGCAGCACAGGCGCGCTGAGGGATCCCGGCGACAGAGCAAACGCCACCAGCGGCTCCGCCTCCCCCACCACCCACTGCTGCCTCGGATCATCTGCTGGGAAGGGCGTGGCGTTCAGTGCCTTGGCCTGGGAGATGGGAGGGGGGAGGCAGGAGTGGGACACATGGGGAAGACAAGGGTCGCAGGTGGGTGGGAAGAGGACATGAGGGTGAATGGGAGGAAGAGAAGAGAGGCAATACAAGCGGGGAAGTGCAGGGAGTGCGGCAGGTAGGCTCGCAGCACAGGCGCGCTCAGAGATCAGCGGCAGAGATCGGCAACAGAGCAAACGCCACCAGCGGCTCCGCCTCCCCCACCACCCACTGCTGCCTCGGATCATCTGCTGGGAAGGGCGTGGCGTTCAGTGCCTTGGCCTGGGAGATGGGACGGGGGAGTCGGGAGGGAGACCTGGGGGGAGCCAGGAGTGGCAAGGGGAGGGGGACACGTGCGAAAACCCTAAACCCTGTCAATGAAAAGATTTGGATTTGCGCACCTTGGCCTGGGAGACGGGAGGGGGGAGGCGGGAGGGAGACGTGGGGGGGGGCAGGAGTGGCAAGGGGAGGGGGACACGTGCGAAAACACTTAACCCTGTCAATGAAGAGGCTTGGATTTTCGCACCTACGCCTGGGACATGGCGGGGGGAAAGGCAGGAGAAACACAGGGGAGAAATGCGCAGAGCTTCTGAGACATCTTGAATGTCTCCAGGCTCAGCACCCCCTGCTGAATCTGGTCGCTTTCAAGAAAGGGTGTGCGTTCAGTGCTTTGGCCTGGGACGAGAGGGGAGAGGCGGAGGGGACCGAGCAGCTGAGGCGAGGGCGGAAGCAAGGGCTTGCACTCGCAGATATGGGAGCATGTGGAACTGGGGAGAAGGAGGAAGAGAGCCAAAGAAGAGCGCGGGATATTGCACTGTAAGTCAGTAGGACAGTGGCACCCAGAAGTACTCACCAAGGCGAGGGCCTGGCAGCAGGAGCTCTTAGAAAAGCGAATTCGATGTCGGTGGTTGTCTGCCACTGCATGGCCCTTGAGTCCACTTGTGGTTGCTGTGTGGGTGGGGCAGTGGTATGAGCTGAGCAGTACTTACCAGAGGAGAGGGCCTAGCAGCCGGCGCTCTGAGAATGGCAAACTCAATGTCGGTGGCTGTGACTGTATGGCCCCCAATGCTGTATGACGCCTGGCGTGTGGAGGATAGGGACGGGTGTGTTGAAGGGGACAAGGTGAGGTGAGGTGAAGTGCGGTGGGGTGAAGTGCAGTGGATTGAAGTGAAATGAAGTGGGAAGGACTGCAGAGGTGGAAAGTACAGGAGCAAGGTACTGAGTGGTTGGGCACTGCAGCTTATGAAGAAAGAGATCCACCATGTACATTGCCAGATCTACTCATCAGGAGTAAGGACTCACAGTTTGCAGGTGTTTTTCTGAGAGCTTTCAAAAAAACACCTGCAGTGCCAAAACTGCTCATCAGGAAAAGGACTCACGGTCTGCAGCAGGGCAATGCGGCGCAGGTGAGTGTCGGGACAGCCGTTGGTGATGTACGTCTGATCAAGGATGGGATGGGAGAGGGGGTAAAAGGGGACGGAACCAGACAGGGTGTAAGGATGAAGGGTGCAGAACATGGCATGTTTCAAGAAGGTAGGTTTGAGAACTCTTTAGACTGACTCATTTTATACCGAGAGCAGGAGTGCAACATACCGAGAGCAAGAGTGCAACATACCGAGAGCAAGAGTGCAACATACCGAGAGCAAGAGTGCAACATACCGAGAGCAAGAGTGCAACATACCGAGAGCAAGAGTGCAACATACCGAGAGCAAGAGTGCAACATACCGAGAGCAAGAGTCATACCGAGAGCAAGAGTGCAACATACCGAGAGCAAGAGTGCAACATACCGAGAGCAAGAGTGCAACATACCGAGAGCAAGAGTGCAACATACCGAGAGCAAGAGTGCAACATACCGAGAGCAGGAGTGCAACATACCGAGAGCAGGAGTGCAACATACCGAGAGCAGGAGTGCAACATACCGAGAGCAGGAGTGCAACATACCGAGAGCAGGAGTGCAACATACCGAGAGCAGGAGTGCAACATACCGAGAGCAGGAGTGCAACATACGGAGAGCAGGAGTGCAACATACCGAGAGCAGGAGTGCAACATACCGAGAGCAGGAGTGCAACATACCGAGAGCAGGAGTGCAACATACGGAGAGCAGGAGTGCAACATACGGAGAGCAGGAGTGCAACATACGGAGAGCAGGAGTGCAACATACGGAGAGCAGGAGTGCAACATACGGAGAGCAGGAGTGCAACATACCGAGAGCAAGAGTGCAACATACCGAGAGCAAGAGTGCAACATACCGAGAGCAAGAGTGCAACATACCGAGAGCAAGAGTGCAACATACCGAGAGCAAGAGTGCAACATACCGAGAGCAAGAGTCATACCGAGAGCAAGAGTGCAACATACCGAGAGCAAGAGTGCAACATACCGAGAGCAAGAGTGCAACATACCGAGAGCAAGAGTGCAACATACCGAGAGCAAGAGTGCAACATACCGAGAGCAGGAGTGCAACATACCGAGAGCAGGAGTGCAACATACCGAGAGCAGGAGTGCAACATACCGAGAGCAGGAGTGCAACATACCGAGAGCAGGAGTGCAACATACCGAGAGCAGGAGTGCAACATACCGAGAGCAGGAGTGCAACATACGGAGAGCAGGAGTGCAACATACCGAGAGCAGGAGTGCAACATACCGAGAGCAGGAGTGCAACATACCGAGAGCAGGAGTGCAACATACGGAGAGCAGGAGTGCAACATACGGAGAGCAGGAGTGCAACATACGGAGAGCAGGAGTGCAACATAACATACGGAGAGCAAGAGTGCAACATACCGAGAGCAAGAGTGCAACATACCGAGAGCAAGAGTGCAACATACCGAGAGCAAGAGTGCAACATACCGAGAGCAAGAGTGCAACATACCGAGAGCAGGAGTGCAACATACCGAGAGCAGGAGTGCAACATACCGAGAGCAGGAGTGCAACATACCGAGAGCAGGAGTGCAACATACCGAGAGCAGGAGTGCAACATACCGAGAGCAGGAGTGCAACATACCGAGAGCAGGAGTGCAACATACGGAGAGCAGGAGTGCAACATACCGAGAGCAGGAGTGCAACATACCGAGAGCAGGAGTGCAACATACGGAGAGCAGGAGTGCAACATACGGAGAGCAGGAGTGCAACATACGGAGAGCAGGAGTGCAACATACGGAGAGCAGGAGTGCAACATACGGAGAGCAGGAGTGCAACATACGGAGAGCAGGAGTGCAACATACGGAGAGCACGAGTGTAACATAACATACGGAGAGCAGGAGTGCAACATACCGAGAGCAGGAGTGCAACATACCGAGAGCAGGAGTGCAACATACCGAGAGCAGGAGTGCAACATACCGAGAGCAGGAGTGCAACATACCGAGAGCAGGAGTGCAACATACGGAGAGCAGGAGTGCAACATACGGAGAGCAGGAGTGCAACATACGGAGAGCAGGAGTGCAACATACGGAGAGCAGGAGTGCAACATACGGAGAGCAGGAGTGCGACATACGGAGAGCACGAGTGCAACATACGGAGAGCAGGAGTGCAACATACGGAGAGCAGGAGTGCAACATACGGAGAGCAGGAGTGCAACATAACATACGGAGAGCAGGAGTGCATTGTACCGAGAGCAGGAGTGCATTGTACCGAGAGCAGGAGTGCATTGTACCGAGAGCAGGAGTGCATTGTACCGAGAGCAGGAGTGCATTGTACCGAGAGCAGGAGTGCATTGTACCGAGAGCAGGAGTGCATTGTACCGAGAGCAGGAGTGCATTGTACCGAGAGCAGGAGGGCATTGTACCGAGAGCAGGAGTGCATTGTACCGAGAGCAGGAGTGCATTGTACCGAGAGCAGGAGTGCATTGTACCGAGAGCAGGAGTGCATTGTACCGAGAGCAGGAGGGCATTGTACCGAGAGCAGGAGGGCATTGTACCGAGAGCAGGAGTGCATTGTACCGAGAGCAGGAGGGCATTGTACCGAGAGCAGGAGTGCATTGTACCGAGAGCAGGAGGGCATTGTACCGAGAGCAGGAGTGCATTGTACCGAGAGCAGGAGTGCATTGTACCGAGAGCAGGAGGGCATTGTACCGAGAGCAGGAGGGCATTGTACCGAGAGCAGGAGTGCATTGTACCGAGAGCAGGAGTGCATTGTACCGAGAGCAGGAGGGCATTGTACCGAGAGCAGGAGGGCATTGTACCGAGAGCAGGAGGGCATTGTACCGAGAGCAGGAGGGCATTGTACCGAGAGCAGGAGGGCATTGTACCGAGAGCAGGAGGGCATTGTACCGAGAGCAGGAGGGCATTGTACCGAGAGCAGGAGGGCATTGTACCGAGAGCAGGAGGGCATTGTACCGAGAGCAGGAGTGCATTGTACACGTTGATCCAGAAGACGAGCCTCTCTGTGTGTGAGAGAGTGGCGGGGTCGACCAGCCGCAGCTGATCCACATAGTGCCTGATGCAGGTGTGGGGGGGAATGGGAGAAGAAGGGGGTGTGTGTTTTGGTTCGATTCGAGCCTCTCCGTGTGTGAGAGAGAGGCGGGGTCTACGAGACGCAACTGGTCAACGTAGTGCCCGATGCAGGAACAGGGCAGAAAACAGGAGAGAACAGGAGATAACAGGAGATAACAGGGAAAAAGGAAGCTTGAAGGTGAGACTAGTGGGACAGGTTAAAAGGTCAGCTTGATACCGGGAGAGCTTTGTCATAGATTTGGCTATATTGGCCATATCGTACCGGTGTCTCTTGAGTGCTGCCACGTCAGCATGCACATATGCGCCTTCCCCAGGTACAGCCTCCACCACCACGAGCTCCCACCCTGCTCCTGATGCCCCCTCCCCTCCCCTCCCACTTCCTCCCATCTCCGCCCTCCCACTCCTCCCACTCCCCATCCCTGGCCCCATTCCCCCTTCCGCCAGCACCATTCCCCCCTCTCCTTCTCCCCCTCCGCCTCCCTCTGCTCCTCCCCCTGCCCCTCCCCCAGCTCCCCCCCAGGATCCTCTCCAAGCCTCTGCTCCATCCGAGCCTGAGGTTAGGACCCGCCGCCGGGGCCGGGGGGCAGCTTCGGCAGCGGCTGCAGCGGCAGCGAGGGCGGCAGCGGTGGTGGCAGCTGCAGCAGCAGTGGTGGCGGGGTAAAGACGGGTGTTGATGGGTGGGTGAGAGGGCTGGCTATCCCCTTCTCCTCCTGCCGCTCCTCCTACCGCTCCTCCTCCCACTGCTGCTCCTCTGCCCCTTCCACCACCACTGTTGCCACTGCCACCACCACCACCACCACCACCACCACCACCACCACCACCACCACCACCACCACCACCACCACCACCACCACCACCACCACCACCACCACCACCACCACCACCACCACCACCACCACCACCACCACCACCACCACCACCACCACCACCACCACCACCACCACCACCACCACCACCACCACCACCACCACCACCACCACCACCACCACCACCACCACCACCACCACCACCACCACCACCACCACCACCACCACCACCACCACCACCACCACCACCACCACCACCACCACCACCACCACCACCACCACCACCACCACCACCACCACCACCACCACCACCACCACCACCACCACCACCACCACCACTGCCGCCGCCAACACGCTTGGGGCCCAAGGGGGAGAAGGAGGGTGACGCAGCCGAGGGGGAGAAAGAAGGAGCACCACCTTCAGAGGGCGAAAGGCAGGAGGCGGCAAGGGGAGTAGGGCTCCTGGGGGGTCGGCCAGAGTTCGCGCCTTCAGAAGGGGAGAAGCAAGAAGCGGCATGAGGGGTGGGGCTCTTGGGTGGGCGGCCAGAGTAAGCGCCCTCAGAGGGGCTTTTGGGGAGGAGCAGCCGCGTGAGGATGGGGTTAGCTACGGTTGAGCCGCCCGGGTAGGCTGTGCCGTTTGGGTTGGGTGAGGTAGAGCTGGTCCGGGCAAATGGCTTGGTAGAAGCGGTTGGGTTTAACAGATTGTTAGGGGTGGACTCAGGTGGGAACTGCTTCTGCTGCTGCTGCTGCTGCTGCTGCTGCTGCTGCTGTGTGGACTCGTAGAGAGGGTGGAGAGGCAGAGAGGCGCCTACATCCAGTGGCGCCAATGGATGCTGTCTGACCGAGGGATTCTTTTTGGACGCTCTGGGATAGAGCGGCCCCGATTGGGACTTCCGAGGACGAGAGGGCTCAGGAGGAGAGGACTGAGAGGGCTGGGAGGGATATGAGGATTGAGAGGGCTGAGAGGGGTGAGAGGGCTGAGAGGGATATGAGGATTGAGAGAACTGGGGGCGGGAGGGGCCAGAATGAAAGGTGTGGGAGCGGGGAAAGTCAATGCCGGAGAGAGGCAGATGTGTTTGGAGAGCGTTGCTGGCAGGCAGGAGAGAATCAGTGCCCTCCCCGCCCCTCCATCCCCTGCTGTACGCACCACCCATGCGCCCCGCACCAGCAGGCATACCGGGAAACTTACCAGGGGCGGGTGTTGACGGGTGCACCGAGGAGGAGAGGCGCGCTGAAGGGGGGTGCAAGGGTGGCAGGTGCAGGGGAGGCGGGTACCTGCCTGGGACTCCGTCAGGTGCTGCTGCTGCTGCGAGCTTCCAGGTGCTGCTGATGGCACTCAGCTCAGCAGTGCTGCTGCTCTGTGCACGCTGCATCATCCTGCCTCCTCCTCTTCCACCTCCCCTCCCAGCACTGGTGCCAGGAAGACTGCTGCCCCCACCACCACCACCAGCAACAGCAGCAGAACCGCCGCTACTATCAGCAGCAGCAGCAGCAGCAGCAGCAGCAGCAGCAGCAGCAGCAGCAGCAGCAGCAGCAGCAGCAGCAGCAGCAGCAGCAGCAGCAGCAGCAGCAGCAGCAGCAGCAGCAGCAGCAGCAGCAGCAGCAGTGCCGTGTCCGCTGCCCATTCTTGCTCCTCGCCCTGCCATGGCACCCACCAACGGAGCCCTCCCTCCCTGCACCATCATCTGCCCTCTCCCTTGTTCCTTCCCCAGTCCCTGCTGCTGCTTCTGGTGCTCCTGAAACGCAAAAGAGGACGTCTCTAGCGCGGACTGAGAGTGCGGAATCAGCATCCTTCCATTCACGACCTTCACACCACCAACACCACTCCCACGGCTAATCCCACCGTCCCTCTTGCCACCACTCCCACCGCCACTCCCATTGTCGCTGTTGCCTCCCAGACTGTCAGAGTCTGAACCCTGGCTCCTCTCCTGGCTCCTCTCCTGGTTCCTCTCCTGGCTCCTCTCCTGGCTCCTCTCCTGGCTCCTCTCCTGGCTCCTCTCCTGGCTCCTCTCCTGGCTCCTCTCCTGGCTCCTCTCCTGGCTCCTCTCCTGGCTCCTCTCCTGGCTCCTCTCCTGGCTCCTCTCCTGGCTCCTCTCCTGGTTCCTCTCCTGGTTCCTCTCCTGGTTCCTCTCCTGGTTCCTCTCCTGGTTCCTCTCCTGGTTCCTCTCTGGGTTTCTCTCCTCAAGGGTGTCACCACACTGGGCGCTGCTGTCTGCTCGTCTGAGCACCCTCCGCTGGCTCAGCTGCTTCGGAGGCAGCTGCAGCGGCTTCCCTGGGCTGCGCTGCTCCAGCTGCTTCTCATTCTCCCGCTGCTTCTGCTCCCGCTGTTGCTGCTGCTGCTGCTGCTGCTGCTGCTGCTGCTCCTGCACCTGCTGTTCTTGCTGCTGCTGTTGCAGTTTCAACTCTCCTGCCATCTCAACCAGACCCGCACCGTTCACTGATCTCGCCACTTCTTTCGCCTCGCCCACATCGCCAGCAGGGGCGAACGGGGAGGCGAGGGGGGAGATGGAGTCAGAGTCAGACAGCAGTGAGGCAGTGTCCAGAGGGGTCACAGCAGGTGGGCGCTGCAGGGAGGAGGGCGTTGCAGGGGTTGGCTTCACAATGGAAGAGGAGGGGTTGCAGAGGTTCTGGTGCCGTGGGCTGATTTCAGGGGAATTACCCGCTGAAAGACACTCATGCACCGATTCTACCCCCGACTTCACACCACAAGTGTCTAAAACTCCCTCACCTCCACCGCCTTCCGCCTCGCCTGCTGCTGCTGCTGCCCTTTCTTGCCCCTTCTCCCTGCCCCGCGTTCCTCCCTGGAACAGCCTCAGCAACCCACCCCGTACACCCTCCCTAGCACCATCTCCGTTATGAGAGCCTACAGACATTGACAGGGGAAATCTGGCTTTGGCTTTAAGATGAGGAGAGGACGGATTCGATTCCTTCGGCTCATCTCGTTGCCCTCTTACCCTGCTTCCTTCTCTTGCTCCTGCCTTTCCCCTCCCTCCTGTCCCTCCTGCATCATCTCGCTCCCCTGCTCCTTCCCCTGCTTCCCCTTCGCCATCCCCTCTCGGCTTCCTACCCAGGGACGACTTGTGAGGGGGGCGGGAGTGAGGGAGGGGCAGGGGGAGAGCAAGAGAGGACCAGGCGGAAGAAGAAGAGGAAGAGGTGGTAGATGAGGGGGGCAGGCGAGGCGAGAGGGAGGAGGACACAGAGGTCGATGTAGACTCGCTGGCAGAGAAAGCAGCAGCAACCACGTCCCAAGGATTCTCGTTTTTGACTGAGATCGCCAGCAGCTCGAGAGATCTCGGGTCGAGAATACGTGCCACGTCCTCTCCCCCACCCCCGCCCCCGCCCCCACCTGCTACCGCGCCGCTTCCTCTTCCTCCCCGCCTGCTGCCGCTGACGCTGCTGCTCCTGCTACTGCTCTTAACAAGCCTGCCCCCCTGCATGCTCCCACTCCTCCCTGCTACATCCCCTCCAAACCCTAAAACTGATCCGTTCAGCCCGGAACCTGGCCCGGGCGGCATTTGTTGGCTGCGTCTGGCACTGAGCGCACTGTTCACGGAGCCCTGGCGAGGGAAGGCGGCAGCCATATCTGCCATAACCACAAACCCTCCACTCAATCCTCCCAAACTCCCTCCTAGTCCCCCTAGCCCCCCAAGACTTCGCCTCCAGCTGCTTCTCCTCTCCCCGCCTTGCTCCGACGCCTGTCGAAACAGCTTCGGGCTGGCCGCCTGCTGGGTTTTCTCCTGAGCTTTCTCCTGGGGATTCCCCTGCTCCCCCTCAGCACTTATCTCCCAGTGCTGAGGTTTGGCCGCTGTAGAGTCTGGGAGGGCCATGCAGCCCGGGGGTTGGTCAGGGCTGAAAGCTTCTTCCCCTTCTGACGTGCTGCTGCTGTTAGGAGCCCTCACCGCATCCTCCGACCCAGCCGCATCACCAGCAGGTCCACTGGTATTGTTAGCGCCAGTAGCACTAGAAGAGACAGGAGGAGGGCCAGTGCCGCCAGAGTCCTGAGGAGAGCCATCTAAGGCAGGGGCGCGAGACCTGTGCCCCTGGTGCAGGCCTGAGACGTTCACGCCCCTCTCGTCCCAGAAGGCGTGGGGGAGGGGCACGTGTGTACCGTGCCTCATGTATACCGAGGCCACGGTGCGAAGCAGAGCCACTGAGAGGTCACAGGGCCGCGAGGAGAGGTCCCTCACTGGGATGCCACCCGCTGCTCCTGCTCCTGCTGCTGCTCCTGCTCCTGCTGCTGCTGCAGTGTTGATGGTTGATAGGTCGCCTGCAGTAGAGGAGTGCTTCGTGTGGTTCCGGCCTCTGGGCGTCCTTTCCTCCTCGTCAGCAGAGGAGTCGTGGGAGGAGGGCGCTGGGACGGTTTCAGAACGGGCAAACGCGGGTGAGCGGGCGGGAGCAGGTGAGCGGGCAGGCACAGGAGATTGGGCAGAAGGAGGGGAGCGGGCAGAAGCAGGGGAGCTGACCCAGAGTGAAGCAGCAGTCCCAGATCCACCGCTTTTTCCTTCCACTGATCCCTGATTCCCTTCAACTCGTCCGCTGGCCCCCCCTTCCATGTCTCCCATGCCGCTTCCGTCCCCTCCTGTGCCCACACTCGCAGCTGCAAAATCCAGAGATCCCTGCCGCAAAGGAGACTCCACGTCAGCAAGCTCCTCGCCCTGAGATTCTCGCAGCTGACGTGGACAGTCCACGTCACCATGCCCGCGCTGAGACTCTCCTGCCCCTGCTGCCCCTGCTGCCCCTGCTCCTCCTGCTGCCCCTGTTGCACCTGTTGCCCCATGTGAAGGCACGGAGTCCAGGAAATCACGGAAGCTCCCAGTGGCCGCTCGTTGCCGAGAGGGGGAAGGGGAACAGGGTGCACCACTTGCAGTCTCAGCTTCGTCACCTGCCTCTGCTTCTCCCTCTGAGTCTGCATCTGATTGTGCCCCTGCTTCCGCTCCTGCATCACTGTCTGCTCCTGTTTCTTCTACTCCTGCCTTGGATTCATCTGCTGTGCCTTCTCCACCCGTGTCTGCCCCTCCTGCACCAGCCACCACAACCGCGCCTGCCCCCATTGTCTGCTGCTCTGCCTCTGTTGCCTTTCTCCCCAGTGATACAATCGCTTCTCTGACTGCCGCACCATCTGCTGCATCGTCCGCAGCAACGTCTGCTGCTCGGCCCACTGCACTTTCTGCTGCTTCGGTTTCGGTACCTTCTGCTGCCTCCTCTGCCTTTGCATCAGTCGCTTCTGCCCTAGCTGTTCCACCACCACCGTCCCCCACACCCTCAGCAGCACCCAGACCTGTTTCATCAGCAGCCCAACCATTCAATAACTCCCTGTTACAATCACCTTCGATTCCAGGCGTCTGTTCTGTGTCACTGCAAGCAACGTCTTCTCTGCCTCCATTCATATCCCAATCCTTGACCCCCTCTCCCTCTCCACCTCCCTCCTTGCGTCTCCGACTCTCTGTGCTCCCATCCACGCCCTTCCCTCCACCTCTCTGTTCTCGCTCATCCACGTCTGAATATCCATTCTGAACCAACTCCACGCTTGCAGCTCTCACCACATCATCACATCCAGGCGACCCCCTCTCTACCCGCCCCAGCGGCTGCTGCGTTCCCCAGCGCTCAGACTCCCCACTGCCCGCCCCATAGTAACGAGGTGACTTTTGAGTCGACTCAAAAGTCACCTCAGACTCCCCACTGCCAGCCCCATCAACCTGACGAGTCCACCCTCCTTCTTCCAGCGCACTCAGCTCGCATGCCTGTTCGCTCGGCTCAGCCGCTCGATCACTCACCTCAGCCACCTGCCTACTCCGCCCCTCTTCTTGCCTCGTCTGCCCCTCTCCTGGGCCACTCAGCATGCCTACCCGCTGGTTCAGCTCATCTGCACCACCGTTTAGCTCACCCAAGCTGCCATTCCGCTCATCCAAACTACCATTCAGCCCATCCACCCTGCCGGCCAATACAGCACCTGACGCCTCTTCCGCTGCAAAAGCTGCTGATTCTCCTCCTGCTGTGACCACTGCTGATCCCCCTCCAGCTGCAGCAGCTGCTGAATCCTCTACAACCACAGCTGGGGCTACTCCTGCTGCTTCGCTGCTTTTCACTTTGGCACTTTTTCCCTCTTTACTTTTCCTGCTCGTTTTCGCCTCCTTGTGGCCAGGCTTCACTCCCTTACGCCCAACCGTCTTCTCCGTCCCGCTGCCTCTCTTCCCTTCATGCTTCTTCTCTTCATGTTGATTCTCTGCATGCGTCTTGTCTCCCTGCTTCTTCACTTTTTGCTTCCTTTCAACGGTTTTTTCCACAACCTCTTTCTCCCCCCATTCTGCCCCTTTCTCCTCATTGAAACCATCAATGAAGAACCCGTTGCCGTTGCATTTATCCTCGCTATGGAGTACCCCGTTTCCCGTAGGCTGGTCAATTGTGATAACAGGAACCTCTCTGGAATTTTGCGATTCAGTAGTAGCATTGGTGAGCATGTGCATGCTGAGTCGGCGAGCTCTGTGGTGTGGTGGGAAGTGAAGTGAGAGAGGGGGCATAAGGGGAACCACATAAAGAAGGGAAAGACTTTAACGAGGTGAAGTGCCAAAAAAATAGGAGCCTTAAGAAGGGGGGTGCACAACCACAAGCACACGGCAAGTGCAAAAGGATAAGCCACGAAAAAGCAAACAAACAGCGGACAGGCGTTTGCATGAAAAGACGCTCTCTCAAGTAAGCGGCCCAAGTATTGAACTTCAAAAAGGACTGAGGATGTCTGTAACAATGCTGTCTGTAACGAGTCATTATGTGGCAAGACTGTTTGTCATGGGGCTATCTGAACACTCACAGCTGACTTGTCAGCACATTCAGTCGCTGCTGCAGCTGCAGCAACAGCTGCAATTGCTCCGCCTCCCCTCCCCCACCCTTCTCCACCTCCCCAACTTCTACCCGACTCTCTGCTTCCTGTCCTCGTTTAACAGGACCTGCTCTCTCTACTGCAATCTCGCCCATCTCAACCGCACCCTGCTGCACAGCACCAGCTCCTGTACTTTCAGGCTCAACCCCTCCTCTCTGCACCAGTCGCTGCAAGACCTGTAATTCTCCAGCCACCCATGCCACATGGGCGTTGACAGTACCACCAGTAGCACCACCACCACTTCCGTGCACTGCGCACCGATCGTTGCTTGCTCTGAAACCACCCTCGTCAGCGTCCCCAACGACGCACTCCACCTTTCGCTTCACGGACCGCCGCCAGGAGCCCTCCACATGCGGCCCCTGAAGCACCCCCTCCTGCTGCTGCGGTGACTCCTGCTGCCGCTGCTGCGTCTGCTGTGGGGGAAGCTGATCATGGTTGGTCCTGAAGTGGGGAAGCTGACGGACGGAAGATGAGTTGGGATCTGTCACCTTGAGAACCGCAGCGTCAGAGGCAGTCAGTGCCTTATGCTCGTCAGGAGGAACCCGACAATCCTCAGCCTCAGCGCCAGAGGCAGTCAGTGCCTGATGCTCGTCAGGACCCGCTGACTGGCCCGCACGACCAGATTCAGACAATGTGGTGGTGGACTGTAGAGTCGCAGATTCTCTGCATCTGGACGGATGCGAAGACCGTACTGTCCTGCTCTGTTCTTTGCGAGGTAGAGATGACATGCCACTAGCCGACGCGCCCTTGTGCCTATTTAAGGACTTCTTTTTCAGGCCGCCACGTGCGCTGGAGTCTCGTTTCTCGTCATCAGTCACTGCCACCTGATAGGTGTTCTCGCCTGGTGTAGACAATGAGTCTTCACTGGAGCGTGCTCTTGGTACATGGTAATCCGAAGAGTTCAACAATTTACGAGAGGGAGGTGCTGATCCTTGTATATGATTACTAGAAGATTTTAAGCTTTCTCGGGAAGGTGCTGCTGGTGGCTCAGAAGAACTTAAGCGCGCTTGAAGAGAGTGTTGCAGTGACTTAGCGGGTGTTTTGCGTGAGTCAGATGTGGGACCGGGTGAGTCAGATGCGGGACGGAGTGAGTCAGCGTGTACCACGTTGTTGTCAGCAGGGTGATCTGAATTTTGGACGTCACGCCATGGTTTGTGATGGCTGGCGGAAGCGACTGACGGCGATTTGGTCTTCTTCTTCGCTGATTTTCTGAAAAAAAATAAAGAAGGTCCTGAAGACGCAGGAGAAAGTTACTCCCAACTAGATAATCTTTCAGGATAGTGATCCGTTCAAGAACACATGGAGGAGACAAGCAAGCTCGAAACCTCATGGATGTTTAGCAGTAAGCACGTTCCAACAGCCGATCAGAATAAAAACAAAGACACGGAATGCGGCGTCATCAATGCGACCGCATGAATGCCATGACAACAAGCGACGATAAGAACGCTGACTACACGAAACGCGACATGACAACGCGATGACAATGAAACGCGACATCATGACGCTATGACAATGTGGTACAGACGAGTGAGAAACTAACGAACCTCTGCTTTGTTTCGCCTGCCTGAAGCTCCATGGCGACAGGAACAACACCGTCCGTTGTATAGCTCCCCGATGATGCTAATGAAAACTTCTGTCGATTGTGTCTAAATAAATAAATAGATTCATAGCAGGGTTTGCTGCTTGCTTTAGCTGAGATATTTCGTAATATGCATCTCGCTCATCGTTTTTACAACAAACGGTGGCGTTTTGGTGCACAGCGTAAAGACTAGAACTAGGTCTGCAAAGGGACATAAAGCTCCTTTCGGTAACTCTTTTAGCAGCAAAGGCCTGACATACTAAAGAATATATGTACATGTAGCATGCGGCTTTCCTACGAACACCTACTTCAACGCAAAACCCAGCAGATTATCTTGAAATGATACCTCGTAAATACCTCGGAGAATGATGGAACAGGCAAGTAGGCAAGAAGCCAAGGCAAGCAGGCGGAAGACAGTCTAGCGCGACAGTCAGCGACTGACCGATTGTATGTCTCTCTCTCCCCTCGACTGGTTAGGCGAGGCGACGGGCCAAGGAAAATTTCATTGGGAACTTCACGGGCAACGAAATTGAAGTTTCGGCTGCGCAAGAAGTTTTCTAGGTTTTACGGTTGTCAGCGATGTGATTGGAGGGCGGGGGACCTTGGGGACTCCGCATTTGCTGAACTGTAGGTGCCGGGGAGGAGAAATTTTTGCGGGTTGGGGGGACTTTGCAAAAACTGATCTGTGGGCTTGCGTTTCGTACCCATCAGATGAGGCAACAGCTTTTCAGGGAATTACTCGTTTTAAGGCGAAACCGTTTTCAGTTTGTGAACAAAGAATCGCACTGCAATACATATCAAGTGCAGCTGACAGAACTCTTGCAGGTTTTCCCATCTGAGTTTACTTCCCTCATCTCCTTTCCTCTCTTCTCGCCCTCTACGACCAGAAGCAGCGCACGCGTAGGGTTAGTCGCGCGTCGTTGACCCGTCGTCGCTCGTCACGCTCTCACTCTTCTTTCCGTCTATTCGTTTTAGAACCTTTAAAACATGGGCGCTCGCAGGGAGACGTTTCGTTGGGGAGATGCGGAGGAGGAAGAGGAGGGATTAGATTCCGTTCTCCCGCCGACGCAGGTGATCGGACCCGATGAGAAGGGAATCAAGATCGTTATCGAGTGGCGTCTTAACGAGGAGGGTCAGCGCGTTAAGTTGACGAAGAAGATCCGCGTTAAGAAGCAACTCAAGAAGCTGAAGCCGGAGGTCATTCGCCGCCGCAGCCTCAAGAAATTCGGCGATGCTGTCGGACAGGTAAGCGCCTTTAGTTATTCTTATCGCATCTTACACCAATATTGCTCTTTTAGGTCGTCTACGGCTGTTGGCTTCGTTGGCGACTCTCGCCTACCTTCGCCGGTCTGATGATCGCGTCAGGGTTTAAGCAGCCTGATTCTTTTAGCAAGCCTGTTCGTGCCTGTACGATTGGCAGATTTTCTATGCAACACATTCGTTCCCTCCTCCCCCCCTTTCCCTATATTAATCTCCTTCTTTCCCCCCTCCCCCCCCCCCCCCCCCCCCCCTTCCTTTCTTTTTTCCCTCCAATTCTCTCCCACACCTTCCCTCCCCATCCCCCTCTTCCCCACCTGTCTGCAGGCTGCCACTGACACCTTCACCATGGTCTTCACGGAGAATATCTTTCTCGAGCGCCCCAAGTTGGCTCAAGCGTCCCTCCCTCACGCCTTCCCGCTCCTCCCCAACCCTTCCTACCCTTCCCCACCCCTCCGTAACCCTCCGCAGATCGGCTCCGACAACTTCACCATGGTCTCAACGGAGGAGATTTTCCTCGAGCGCCCCAACCAGGCGCAGTCGAAGCAGGACGAGGCGAAACCCTCGGGCGATTTGGCGGCGATCGGGAGCGCGTCGCTCATGGTGTGTCGCATCTGCGGCAAGAAGGGCGACCACTGGACCTCCAAGTGCCCTTTCAAAGACCTCGCCGCGGCGCGCGGGCTCGCCGTCGGGGAGAAGTTCGACGAGGACGGCGCCGCGCCGTCCGCTGCCGGCGGCGGCGCGCCGTCCGGGAAGACGTCGTACGTCCCACCGTCGCTGCGCGCGGGCGGCGCGGCGTCGCGCGCGGGCGAGGACAGCGGCGGCGGCGGGAGGCGCGGCGGCGGCAGGGACGACAGCAACTCGGTGCGCGTTACGAATCTGTCGGAAGACACGCGCGAGCAGGACCTGCAGGAGCTGTTCGGGCCGTTCGGGCCCGTGTCGCGCATCTACGTGGCGTTCGACCGCGAGACGGGGTTGAGCAGGGGCTTCGCGTTCATCAACTTCATCAACAGGTGCGTGCGTTGGGAGGCGCTGTGTGCGCGCTGGTCTTTTTTCAAATCCTCAAAGACCAACAGGTTCGCGTTTATCAACTTCATCAACAGGTGCGTGCATTGGGCACGAGCGCCACAAGTTCGTATCTTCAGACGCCTCAAACATAGACCGAGCAAGGGGGTTCGCGTTTATTAGCTTGTGGGGAGGGTCGGGCGCTGTGTCGGGCAAGGAGCGAGTGTGCGGGGAGGGTTAAGCGCTGTGTGGGGCAACGTTCGTCAGCACGAGCGTCAGCAGGTTCGCCAGCAGCTGTAGCATGAGCTGTAGCATGAGCTGTAGCAGCAGCTGTAGCAGTAGCTGTAGCATGAGCTGTAGCAGCAGCTGTAGCATGAGCTGTAACTGTGATCATGATGAGTAAGGGGGGTCATCAAGGGTCAAACCGGCGACAACGAATCGTGAAGGGTCGTCGTAGCGGTTTCCAAGGGATCGCAAAAGGTTGTAGGGTGGTAGGGTCTAACAGTCACTTACGGTTCGTCCAGGGTTATTGGTTTACTGCGTGGCAGTAGAGGTTTACACAGGTCTGCTGGACAGACTGCTTCTCAGGGCCGGTGCACAGGGTGCTGCACAGGTGCATTGGTAATTGTGTACAGATATTTTCTCACTTGTGTACAACCCTGTGATTCGCTTTCTCGAGTACCTTCCATTGCATTGGTGTTTCCCCTACTTCTCTGTGCCCATGGTTGTTTGGTTGCTTATTCCACCTCACCCGTGGTTGTTTCCCCTCTCGCTCATTGTTGTTTTACCCCGTCACTCATGGTTGTTTCCCCTCTATCTCTCATGACTGTTTCCCCCATCACTCGTGATTCTTTCCCCCTATCTCTCACCAATGCGTGTTTCCCCCTTATCCACCCTTCCCTGCGGCGCCTGTATGTTTAGGGAAGATGCGGTGCGGGCAATCAACAAGCTCGATGGTTACGGTTACGACAATCTCATCTTGCGTGTGGAGTGGGCCACACCACGAGCAGATCGCGGCTAGAATCCCTTTCTTTTTGTTTTCCCCCTCGAATCGCCTGTTTGCTGAAAGCCGTTTTATTGTTCCGATTTATTCACTCAAGCTGTAGCTGTGTTTTTGAATTGAGCATTGGCCGGATTTATTTAAGCCAGCCAGAAGCTGTAGGTTGTGCTGGTGGTGGTGGGCCCAAATGGTTACTCATCTGTATAAGGGATTGGCAATGCACAGGTTTGCAAGCCTGTTTCAGCCTCTACCACTTTCCACTTTCTTTGCTTCATAGGCTTGTTGGTAAAACTGCTGGTCCATAACTTACTAATAATGGTTACACCAACTACTTCTAGCATCCTCCGAAGCGAGGTTCGCTGAAACGTGGTGATGCGTGTATTGACACGTACAGTACAGTTTACACATCGTGTCGGGACCCATACATACCTGCTGCCCACCCTGACACCAGAAATGTTTTCTTTCCCTCCCTGACACAGGAAATGTTTTCAGCTCCCTCCCTGACACCTTCCAGAAATTGGTCTCACCGACACGTGGCATTGACTACACAGTTTTGTCATATGTGTTAGGGCTGCTGGCTGTCAGTTGACGTGAATGCAAATTTGTTCCAGACGAATTCGCAGGTAGAACGAAGCAGGGCATGAAAAGGAATCTGTCGTCCAAAGTTTCTGATAACTGCGGGAGTGTTTACCACAACAGAGTTATGGAAAAGTGTATTTCTGTCATATGCAAAACTTTCAAAGCCGAATGCCCCTTCAGAACAGCTGGGCATATGGGAAGCACTGTGCAGGTGGTATCATCTGGCACCTTCTCAGGAGTTCGTGTGCTGTCGTTTTGCAACGCTATCGTCATCGTGAGCCCATTCATTGGTTGAACAACGCGACTCA